AGAAGTTTTCCATAATATTGAAGTAGTTAAGAGCCCTTACTGCTTTCTGAACACTTTAAGATGAGATTGGAAACTACTGATTTGGCCACTCAGTTTTCCAGTTCCTGAGAAAATAAAAAATATTCATCAAAGAAAATACTGCTTTGTCATGCAAACTCATCAGTGAGAGGCTGCAAAGGTGCTAAATTCTCTGGAATTCCATGGTAGTTTTGCTAGGTAACCTTAGGTAAATCTTTTCAGATTAAGAGCCACAGACTTCTAATTGGCAAATGTGTAGTTGTGAGAACTAAATAAACTACACTACATAAGAAGGAAATTTTGAAGTGTACCTGGTATTCAGCAAGAAATAGATGCATGCTAACTTTAATTTTATGAGCATGAATGTACATTAAACAATAAGTATAATGCAGAGGCTTGAGTTTTATAGGAATACACAATGTGAAGGGGAGCACACCAGAAATGACCCCTCAGAAAGACTGTGTATACAGTTGAAGTTTTTATTACAACTAGGTGCAATTACATTCAAGTATTTGGGGCCTGGACTTAGGCCTAATTGTTTAGAGCTAGGGGCTTTTAAAGGCAAAATCCACATCCTGGTTATCTCACTTAGCAGCTGCAGGGGAGGTTTTGAACAATCAAGCAGATAAACAGAAACTAAGAAAAGCAGTTAGCTAAAGGGGGAGATTTGCACAGACAATTTAACAAAGCTAAGATAATTTAGCAAGGGCAGCTTGACCTCAGGTTCCTAGAATGGAGCTAGGTAGTTTTCCATGGGTTTCTTCATCAAGAAGATAAGATTCCAGTTAAACATGAAATGACCTCAGGAAGAATACATGTCGGAGAACACTAGAATGCAAGATACACTTCAAAATAGGAGGTAGAGTGAAGTATAAAATTCTGCTCTTTCCTTTCTAGTATGGAGCAATCAGGTGCACATAAAATAGACTTCCTGAATTCATGACGTTGTTGACACAGAAACACAAGTCTCACCACAAAGGGAGTAAGTGATAGTTTATTTTGGAACCAAATATAAATGACCATGACCCAAGAACACAGATTTAGCTTACTCAAATCCTGTGTTCCAATAACAAAGCAATTTCATTAAGTATTTATAATAACAGAACAAAGAACGTCGTAAACCAAAACACTTTTCAATACTTTGATGGAAACATCAGAGAGGTTGGGTCACAGCAAAACAGAGAGAACTCTGCTGCAACACATATGTGATTCCTGACAGCATTCTTAGTCCTTTGACTGGTGGAAAATGGGGTTTTGCTAAGCTAAAGCAGTCATAAGTTCTTTACCTATTAGTCACAGGATGTTAGATCCAACAAAGAAATGGAAATGGGATAGCCATTTAGAATGCTAAAGATGGCCTTCAGTAAATTTTATTTAGCCTCTGGACCTGTAACATTCCAAACTCTCCTCAATATTTAAAGTTCTAATACCCTAATCAGCCTTGCTGAAGGCTTCAGTTTGTAGGTAGAGCTTTTTTTTCTGTGAATTTCCTTTCACAATATATACTGTTGATGCAAAAACCATAGTCTCATCTCAAAGAGAAGAAATAGTTTACCCTGGAGCAATGTTGAGTGACTATGGCTGGGGAACACATATTTAGGTTACCCCAAATTCCATGTTCCAAGGTGGGATAAGTTTCATGAAGTTTTTATAGTTTTATATAACAAAGAAGATCACAAAGTAAGGTAGGCTTAAAACTGTTGTATTGGAACTGATGGAGGTGACATGAAAATCAAAGGAAGAAGACAGGCATTTCCAGAAGCAGAAATGTTCTTTGAATCAGAACAACTGAAAGGTATTAGTAACTCTGCAGGAGTGGTGTCTCATATGTGTGTAACAAAGTAGGAGTTGGAGTTTTATAGGGCGGAAAGGGAGTGATAGATTGGGAATGAACATGACGACTAGGAAGAAAGGGAGATCATAACTCCAACCTAGACAGAAGGAGACTGCCCTTATGTTAGAACAATGCAGGGCAACAACCTCTCTGTGGGAATGGAGGTTGAGCCCTCAGTGAGATTTGGGCAGGTGAAAGTCGGGGAGTTGAGAGTAGCGATGCTTCAGGTATTGAATCTGGGCTCTCTGCAGTTTTTCTGAGAACATGTAGGATGCATAGTTCCAGCAGGCTCTGAGCAAGCACAATGTTGCTAATCAGTGTTAGGAAGCAGAACTGAGTATTTCTGAGTCAAACTATGATTATCCCAACATATCCCAACTCTGAGGGGATATAAAATTGGGCTGAAGAAGGTTCAAGACAGGGATTTTATAGGTTGGTCTTCATTTATTTGTATTTTTGTTTGTTTGTTTGTTTGTTTAGAGGAAGGGTGCTTCCTGCTGAGTTAGGGAAATGATCAAGGGTTTGGGGGTGAAGGAGTTGAGGTGACCCATAGAGGTGGTCACTATGCTAAGTAGTGGTTGATATCCTTCTCACCTGAAGAACTCTTTGACTCTTTGGTAATGAAAGTTTGTAATCTTTGTTGGAGAAACTTGGTGAAGCAACTGAGAATGTAGAATCAAATAATAAAATTACCAATATCTTGGCTATTTTGCGTCCATGAGTGATGCAAGTATCCTTCCAGAAGATTTTTTTTCTAGTCAGATCTAGTTCTCTTAAAAATTTGGAGTACTGCAGTCAAAGAATTTAGTTGATCCTGAAAGATATTAACTGATCTGAAATGTCTTTAAAGATTTCTGAGAGATGGTGAAACAGAGAGGCTAACTGACACAGGGGAGGCTTCAAGGCAGCTGTTTCAGCTCTTGAGTTTTGGGTATTGAAAACTACCTACAGTGGCAAGACAAGTGGGTGAGCTGGATTGTCCATTAGTCCTTTTTGAAGTTATCAAATATACTTTTAGAGGTTTGGGGGGATCTCTCTTAACTGCTTTGAGCTGACAAAAAGGGGCCATGTAGAAAGTGTTGTGCCCACTTGGAGAGGATCCCAAGGTAGAATTAATTGGCATATCTGTGGTCTGGGATTCCACGACCGGAGCACATCCTACGATTGTGGGCTAAGGGAGTAGCTGCCGATGCTGTTGCAGCTGCTCATGGGTCTGAGCTTCTGATCACGTCACCCTCCCCCTCCCCCACTTAATTGGAGACTTTTATTCTCCTTATTACGTTTCATCAGAAAGGGCAACAGTTAGAGTACCCTAGAGAAAGGCAATAATAAAACTTAACAGATGGCAAAGATCTAGAACAGAAGACAGCAATGAGATAACATGTATTCTTAGAGTGTGTTGTGTGAGAAAGGTAGCATCTATAACATGCAAAAGATGAGACTGTTGGAACTATTATAATTCCTACTCAGATCATAGTTAAGATTGTGTGTGTGTGTGTGTGTGTGTGTGTGTGTGTGTGTGTGTGTGTGTGTGTAATCAGGAAGAGGACTATTTAGTGACCAGTGGTTGTCCAAATTTTATGTGATTTAATATAACATATGAGGACTGCAGTCCCTTGAATTGTTGAAGAAACATACCAACCATTTTGAACTTGGCTATGCTTTCCTGGTTTTATTCTATCTGTCTATCTATCTGTCTATCTATCTATCTATCTATCTATCTATCTATCTATCTATCTGTGTATCTACTTCCAGGTCTCCTGGGCTCCTTAGTTTATACTTTCTGTTTTTGTGCTGGTAAGACCAATTGAGGATTCGTTCCTTAAGGGTCACTTGGGTTTATAAGGAATCTCTGACTCATTGAGCCTTTTTTTTTTACCAGTTGTCCATCTGTGTGATGACAAAATCATCAAAGTTTTTGATTAGCCTGGCTATGGCTTACCCTGGAAGCACTGAGGTAATCTTTCCTCTGTGCTAACCCTCTTCTGTGTAGACTAGACACTGGTTAGACTTCATTGAGTCAGTTCTTCATGGCCTTTCTGAATAAGAGAATGAGTGAGAATATCCTAGGAATGACCCACAGTCCCCTGGGACCTCATTGATCTTAGAAATGAAAATATCTTCCCTTTTATTTCCTCTGACCACATTAGACTAGCCGCCAAGTGTGGATATTAAACACACAGAAAGTTAGTTACACCAGTTAGGTACTTCTCACTCCTGTTTAATATTTTGATAGCTGAATATGTCTAAATAGACTTGGATTGATTCAACATGCATTTTAGCTATTTTGTAACTGTTGATCTTAGAGCTTAGAAACTTTGATACACACACACATACATATACATTTAAATTTTTTTTCTTAATACCATCAGACATAGTAGCATTTTAAAAATGAGTTAATATCTATTTTGAGAATTTTCTTCCTTGGGTAGGGGGAGATTAAACAATGTCTACTCCTGTTGAGTGTAGGCTGTTTGTGGTTTTTCTGAGAATATTTAGGGGCTAGGAATTCCCGTAGTATCTAAGCAAGTAGAATGTCCCTGACCAGAGTTTGGGGAGTGAAGCCTAACATCTCTGGGTCAAACTAAGTTTATCCCAATAGGTGAACTTTTGGTATGAAAGACTAGGTCAATTCTCCTGTAGTCTCAGAGTTGTAGATATCAGTTTGGCGTTGGGATTGTTGATCTCAACAGGAACTTCCACAAATGTTATCAGTCAAGTCAGCATGCCTGTGCAGTGTTTCTTGGTTGTCCTGAGGCTTTTATATCATTAACTCTTCAAAAATCCATTCGTGGGTACATCAGAGAAACAGGTATAGTGAGATAAGGGAAGTTTTTCTATAGGTCCGACATGCTACCTGATGCGATTCTTAGCTTTTGGATTGGTGAAAGCTAGTTGTCTGTTAATAGATTCTAAAAGGTTTCTATTCATTACTCACAAAAAATCTTAATTCAGACACAGTAGTGGGCAAGGAATGACTATTCTTGGGGGCTAGAAGTAGCGCAATTTAAGATAATTGGCCTCTGCCCATGGCCTCTAATCTCCCCACAGTAACACAGTTTTAATCAATCAGTTTCTGCAGGCAGTTTCTTTTCAGGAGTTTTCATTCATGCCAACAATTTCTGTTTTGTTTTTGTTTTCTCCCTAGCACTGGCTAGACCCTAACAAGTCCATCTTCAAGCAAATGAAATGTAAGTGTCAAACTATGGTTTTACTTCTGCTGCAAAATATTAAAAAAGAAATGTTGCTTTCTAGCAGAGCAGCTTCTCTCTGGAGAGAAGGCAGAGGAAAGATACATGGGGGAATGACAGGGGCTCTCTCTTTGAGAGCTGTGAATCCTCTCCCCTTTTTCCTCTGCCCTCGGCTCTCTCCTCAGGCATCAGTTAAATTGCCTGCAGTGCCTCTCCTTTCTGCCCTGTTTGCTCTCGTATTTCTTGTTGCACTAGGAGCTTTGAAATGATACGGTTAAATATTCATTAACCGCAAATACTTGCCTCCGCATCTTAAGGGTTGGCAGCATGGTTTAAGGGTTGCATGTGGTCTCAAGCGGGGATAAGAGAAGCGGGTGTGTTCCATAACTGAAATTACACTAACGGTTTCACTGGATAGTATTAATTCTTTTCTTTTCTCCCAACTCCGAAAAAGTAAGAAAATTAAAAATCTTTTCTTTCTCACAATAGCTTTTAAAGGCTGGTGACCTGAACATAATTTCTCTCTAAAATTTCTTTTTCTTACTATAGGCACTGTGAGGAAGGAGTAGACTTTTATTCTTAAATGACATGATTCTTTGTCTGAGTCCCCTCTTCTAGAATGTATCCAACCTGTTTTTACATATTATTTCAATGAGAACTTCTAACAGGGACCCCAAGAACCTATTGCCTTCTTTTAAAATATATGCCTCCCTGTGCTGGCTATTTTTTGTCAACTTTACACAAGCTAGGATCATCTGGAAAAGGGGGGCTGTAATTGGGGGAAATGCCTATTATCACTGGGCTGTAAGAATGTCTGTGGGACATTTTTTGATGAATCATTAATGAGGGAGAACCCAGCCTACTGTATAGGCCACCACCCTCTGCTGATAGTCCTAAGTTTATAAGAACGCAAACTGAGCAAGCTATAAAGAGCAAACAAATAAGTAGGGTTCCTCTATGACCCCCACTTCAGTCCCTACCTTGAATTCCTGCCCTGACTTCCCGTTAAGAAGGACTATAAACTATAAGCTGAAATCAATTCTTTCCTCCCCAAGTTGCTTTTGATCATGGTGTTGTTTCATAGCAATGGAAACCTAACTAAACCAAAACAGTCCCGGGATCACAAGATATTGCTTTGAAGACGTTGCCATGTCTGGGAACTTAATAGACTGCCATAAGAACTTAGAAGACGATGCTGAGAGAAGTGCAAATGATGGAAGGCTGGCTTTTGAAGTTTCAGAAGGAAGTTCGGGAGTCCCGCAAAGACTCTATTAACACTGTCTGGGTGATATTTTGAATGAAGAATCTGTGATCCTGGTCAGGTAGGGCTGAAAAAGCAGTTGTGTTTAAGAAAAGACTAGGATAACTGATGTAAAATATTTGCTTTACTGCAACACTGGAAGCTAGTTCCTGGGACTGAGAAATTAGCTATGGTTGAGAAGAAACACTGGGGTTACCTCGGGGGTACTTCCTTCAGGGTCAGCACACAGACTTGTGTTGCAGATGCAGCCAAGTTTGCATCTCATGCTGGCAGGGGAACTTTGTTTTACTGATTTGATGACTTGGGAGCTGCTGGACCGAAGGGAAATCATGGAGCACATCTGAGACTTGGTGACAGGAGGGGCAGTAGGTGGAGGTACAGGTGTAGCTGAAATGGAGACCTCAGGAATGAAGGGATCGTGGAAAAAGGCTGGGACGTGGCCCTGTAAGCACCTGAAAGAGGGCATTGGTAAATGTATAGCCCTGGGTGGAATGGAAACCCAAGGGTTGAAGGGGCCATGGAGAGAGAGGAATGGAGGCTTGCAACCATGTGGCAGGTCTGTTGAGAGGCCAGGAGGCCATTGGTTCTGAAGGTACAGCTTGTGGAGACCCAGAACATTGATGGTGCCAAATTGTAGGATGACCACTAGGGACAGCAGCAGCTGTGTAGTGGAGTCTGCATCTATGAAACAAGCCATGTGTGCCATGAAAGCCAGAGCCAGAGAAGCAGAACTGCTCAAGCCTTTTAAGGCCCAAAGCATGCATAATACTGCTGGATGATTGTTTTGCTTTTATGTGATGGTAACTGTGCTCTGGTTCTTCCTGATTAAAATGCTAAGTATGTAACTTAATTTTTACTTTACAGGATCCCGCAACTGAGAAACTAGACTCTTAAATAAAGAATATTTCAGAGACCGGAATGTTAAAGTATCTGAATTTGTAAGAATACTATGGGACTTTTAAAAGTATAATGTGTTTTGTATTGTGATATTAACATAAAATATTGGATAAACAAGGAGGTAGAGGTTCTGGTTTAATAGGGCTGTAGTTGTGTGTCAAGATGATAATGATCAATTGTGTTCATTGGTTGTCAACTTGACATGGATTATGGTCATCTGAGAAGGAACTGAAAATGCCTCCTCCAGGTTGGTCTGTAGATAGGTCTATAGGGCATTTTCTTGATTTTGATTGATGTGGGAGGACCAAGCCCATCATAGGAAGTGCCATCCTGGGCAAATGCTCCTGAGTTTTATAAGAAACATAAGTGACCAAAACAGGGAGAGCATGCCGATAAGAAGCTCTCATCCAGGGTTTCTGCCTCAGTTCCTTCCTCCAGGTTTCTGCCTTGAGTTTTGGACATGACTTCGCTCCCTGGTCGACTGTTGTCCAAAACTGTAAGATGAAGTAATCCTTTCTTGCCCAAGTTGGTTTTGGTCAGCATTTTATCATAGTAATAGAGGGCAAACTAGGACACTACCATATCAATTTTCCCAGGATTTGGTAAGGAATGTAATATATAATATTGTCATCAGAGATCAAATTTATGTGTGTCAAACCACTTGTGATTATTCAAGAAAACAGTCGTTTTTTTCTCAAATTTGAATTTTTCTGGGTAGGGCTTTTTAAAGTGAGAAGATAGAAAATGAATATATGCTGCTTACTAACAGCTGGCATATAAGTTCCTTAACTCCCCACTTTTACTTATCTTTCTCATCACACACATACACACACACACACACACACACACACACACACACACACACATACATTTACTTTACATCCTTCAGGATCAACTCTGGCCAGTGCAGGAAGGATGAGCTGTAAACATGCCCCAGTTTGCATTCTACAGCTGTAAATAACACAACCAAAAGTAGCCTGGGTGAACAGGATTTGGTTAACTTATAGTTGCACATCATAGTCCATCACTGAATGAAAGTCAGGCCAATAACTCAAGGCAGAAACTGAAGCAAAGGCCATGGAGGAAAGCTGTTTACCTGCTTGCTCCCCATGGCTTGTTCAGCCTGCTTTCTTAGGAAATCCAAGATCACCTGTAGCCAGTTTACAGAAGGTAATTTTTCAGTTGAGGTTCTTCTTTCTATATGACTCTGGCTTGTGTCAAGTTAGCGGAAAAAAAAAACTAATCAGGACTATTGGCCTCTTTTGTCAACTTGACACGCCAATGCAACACTATTAGACAATGTCTTTTCCTCTCTTGTATATCTCCAGGATCTCATAGTAACATCAGTCTCACAACATACAACATTCAAACTTTAAAAGATCACTGTTCTTTCAGAGTTTAGTGTCCATAAAATATCCAAAATCTCTTCACTGTGGCCTCCTGCAAAATCAAAACCAAGTTCAATAATTTCTTACTGTCAGAGAGAAGAACCAGGACACAGTCATAATCAGATCAAAGCAAAGCCAGACTCCAACAGTGAAAATAGCTCAGCGTCCAATTACCAGGATTAAGTCGCCATCTTCTTGACTGCAAATGACTTGAGCTCTGCCGTCTGCAGCACACACATTGGTTGCAATGTTTAGGCTAGCTCTACTCCATAAGTGCTGTGTCCTTGGTGGTCATCTCATGGTCTGGCGTCTGTAATATGCTGGCTCTCCACAGGCTACACCTTCACGAATGGCCTCCTGACCTCCCTTCAGGGACTCTCACCTTGTCACATAGTTCCAGTCCTCAGCTTCTTTTCATTAACCTTTCCATCCTGCTGTTCCCACCACAACTGAGCTGTACCAATTGTTTCCCCGGAACTTTCACAGTGTCAAGCTTCGGCTTCTGTCCATGACCCATGATTTCCAGATCCTACAAGCTTTCACACCACCCAAACCAGTAACGTGAAAGAGACTCTGAAACGCAAGCTTGAAATGCAATCTTAACTCCGACTCAGCATCCCCTCCCTTCGTGTGTGAGAAGAAAATTCCCAGATTTCAGCTTAACGAATGTCTCCATAATCATCATATTTCAGTCTTAGCTAACCAGCATCCACTGAACAAGTAAACCAAAAGTTTCAGTTCAGTGGTTGTTTTGTTTTGTTTGACTCTTTGGGTTTTCTGTTTGTTTGTTTGTTTTTTGTTTTTGTTTTTACTTCTTTATGTATTCTTGGTATAATCCTCAGTGAGATGTATAGAAGGCAAAGATTCCAATTCTATGGAACTCCTCTTCACCTATTTGACCCATTTGATTGTTTCTTTAGCTGCAGAGCTTTTTAATATTATGAAATTCCACTTGTCTAATTGTGACTTTAAATATTGTCCTAAAGTCCTCACTCAGAAAGTCCTTTCCTATTCCTATATCCCATAGGTGCTGCCTATGTCCCCTTCTAGCAGTTTCAGCTCTCAAATTTATGTCTTAGATCCACTTGAAGTTAGTTTTTGTACAAAATAAGAGATTCTGATCTAATTTATTCTCTTCCCTGTAGGCATCTGGTTTTCCCAGCATTATTTGTTGAACATGCTTTCATTTCTCCAGGATAAGTTTTTTGTCACCTTTGTCACATATGAAGTGGCAGAAGTTATATGTTCTAAAGACAAGGGCTTCAACTTTGTCTCATTGATATACATGTCTGTTTGTGTGCCAGTATAATTTTTCTTTTATTACCATGGCTCCTTACTTGAGACTTGGAATGGTAATTCTTTTTACTTAGGATTGTTTTGGCTATCTGCCAACTTTTGTGGTTTCATATGAATTTTGAGAGATGATAGTTATGACTATTATTTCTGTAAAGAATAAGATGGGAATTTTGATTGGGATTGCATTAAATTTGTCAATAACATTAGTAGAATAGTCATTTTCTCAATATTAATTCTACCAATACATGAGCATGGGGTGTTTTTCCATTTTCTGCTGTCTTTCTATAGAACTTTAAGGTTTTCACCTCTTTGGTTAGGTTTATTTCTTTATATATATATATATATATAAATTTTATCTAAATTAGAAACTATCTTATTTTACATATCAATCCCAGTTCCCTCTCCCTCCCATGCCCCCCATTGACCCTTTCATTCCATTCCCCATCTACTCCCCAGAGAGGGTGAGGCCTTCCATGAGGGATCATCAAAATCTGAAGTCATTTGGGGCAGGGCCTAGGCTCTCTCCTGTGTACCTAGGCTAAGAGAGTATCCCACCATGGGAAATGAGCTTCTGAAGTACTTTCATGAACTAGGGATACATCCTGGTTCCACTGCCAAGAGGTCCCATAGACTGCCCAGTGCTCCTAGCTGTCACCCACGTTCAGGGGGCCTGGTTTTGTCTGATGTTGGTTCTCCAGCTGTCAGACTGGGGTCCATGAGTTCCCACTTGCTCAGGTCAGTTGTTTCTGCAGGTTGTCCCAGCGTGGTCTTGACTCCTTTGTTGGTCACCCTTTCTCGAAAGCTGGTTTCCAGGAGTTTGGCTCAGTGCTTGACTGTGGATTTCTGCTTCTGCCATGGCATTTAAGGTAGTCATCATATTCTCATTATAGGGGATGAGCATTTAAGGTAGCTTCTCCACTATTGCTTAGATTCCTAGTTGGGGTCATCCTTGTGGATCTCTGTACAATTCCCTAGTGACAGATTTCTCTTTAAACCTATAGTGGCTCCCTCTATTGATGTGTCTCTTTTCTTGCTCTCCTCTATCCATCTCTCCACTCAATCTTCCTGATCCCTCAAGTTCTCCTCCCCATCCTCTTCTCCCCTCTTCTTTCTCCTACTTCCCTCCCCCTTACCCCCTCCCCTCATGCTCCCAGCTTGTTCAGGGGCTCTTGTCTTTTCCACTTCACTGGGGGACAGTGTATGTCTCTCCTACAGTCCTCCTTGTTTCCTTGCTTCTGTGGTAATCCTTTGCTCTATGTCTAATATCCATACCTGAGTGAGTACATACCATGTTTGTCTTTCTGTGACTGGGTTACCTCACTTGGGATGGTTTCTTCTGGTTTGATCCATTTCCCCACAAATTTCAAGATTCCATTGTTTTTTTCCTCTGAATAGCACTCCATTATGTAAATGTGCCACATTTTCTGTATCCATTGGTTGGTTGAGGGGCATCTAAGTTACTTCCAGGTTCTGGCTATTAAAAATAATGCTGCTATGAACATAGTTGAACAGATATCCTTGTTTATTAATAGTGCAATTCTTACAAGACAGAGGCAGACTTTGGCTTAGAGAAAGGGTGACTGGGTAGATCTGCTCCTCCCCTCAGATGTACTGAAAGATGGTGACTTTGGAGCTGTGTCTTTCTTTGTAGATCTCTAGCCTTGGTTTGAGTGTGATGAAATTAACTATGTGCTTCGACCAACTGTACAGAATAATAAGTCCAAATCATAGAAGATTATGGCTGCCCTTTGAGGACACCTTTTGTTACCACCTTTTTGGTAGTTTACCTCCAGTGAGGAAATTTAGTTTTCTATATCTTTGAAAACATTTTTCAGACCATGTTGATGCAGCCATAGAATGTATCATGACTTATATAAAAAATGCACACTGTACCATATTTTAATTGTAAAAATTTGAAAATAACCTTAAATGATAATTAAAGGCAAATATGTGAGTAATTTGTATTTGCACATACTAGTTCATACAGCTTATGGAAAATGAGCTGTATAAATAGTGTATCTACCCTACTGGAGGAAAAGGCAGGTACGGCTATACATGAGAGAAATAAAGAAACATGTATGGTTTGTTTTAGTTTCGAGAGAATAGTCAAAGATGTTTCCACATATATTAGCTTATAGGAATATATATATACATGAAGTCACAAAAGTTACAGAAGGATATAAAGAAATTTATTAATAGTGAGGGGAAAGGATTGCATTTGATAAGAACTTGAACAATGAAAGATCAGCAACAGAGACAAACTGATGCTATTTGTTGAGCATCTCTCTATGTATATGTCTATTTGTCTCTATATTGATCACTTATGTTAAAACTACACTTAATTAGAAAATTTTAATAAAAGATAAAGGAGAAAGAAATGCACAAAATAGAGAAGGTTATCCTCAGATCTTTGGTTCAATTCTTCTTCTTGTGTAAAAATAGTTTTCTGTTAAAAGCATGTTTGGATGAAAGAAAGGGAAGGGAGAAATGATGTAATTATAATCTGAAAAATAAAAGAAAAAATACAAATGTTTTATAATGAAAGTCAAAATCCATTAGTTTCATAATTTAAATATTTTTTCAAAACATCAAATAAATTCTACATGATGTTCAGTGATAAAATGTTTTATGTTCTAGATAAGAAAGATGAATGACTTGAGACTGACTTATTTTCTTAAGTTGCATTATTTGCTAGTACTTAGGAAAATACACTACCTTTCATTATATTTATTGTGTGTATGATGTGCACAGTATATGTACTTGGGTGTGCATATCCATGTACCATGCACGTGCATTTGGAAGCCAGAGGAGGACATTGTTTTCTTTCATATTGTCTGCCCTTTGGGGCTGGGGTGTCAGGCTTGCTTGCTGAAACTGAAGCATATCATCTGGCTAAGCTGACTAGCCAGCAAACTCAGGAGCTACCAGTGTCTGCCCATCAATCAGTACAAGGGTTGAGGTTTGCACAGCCATGCTGACTTTCAAGTGTGTGTTAAGAATTTGATCTCGGGTCCTCTTGCTTACACAGTAAGTCTTCTTCACACTGAGTCGTCTACTTAGTTCCTCCTTTCTTTAATTAGAGTTTACATCTTTTAAAGATAGGGTTTCACGATTAAGCTCTCATTCACATAGAATTCTTGTGTAGACCAGTCTGGCTTCAAACTCATGGTGATTTTCCTGCCGCTGCTTCCTGAGTACTAGGGTGCAGACATGCATCAACACGTCAAGACCTTCCTTTCTGAAATCTAGGAACATAGGGCCATGTTGGTAGCAATGACTCAGTAAAACTGCGGGCATGAAGACAGCATAGTGACTCCTGTGTGATTATGATGATGTGTATTCGTGTGTGTGTGTGTGTGTGTGTGTGTGTGTGTGTGTGTGTGTGTTCAGATTTTCTTTGCTAGCATAAAAGTGATGTTCTTATGATGGGTGTATGTTCTATTGGATTATTTTTAACCATAAGTCTTTTTTTTTTATTATTTGGGATAGGGCATGTGAACGCCAGAGGAAAATTTGCAGGAGTTGGTTCTCCACTTAACCATGCAGGTCTCACAGACTGAGTTCAGGTCATCAGGTTCAGGGGCCGGCTTCTTCACTCGCTAAGCTATCTCCCCAGCTCAGCTATAAAATCAGTGTGATAATTATTTCCCATATGAATTTTCTTCATTATACAGTCAGACCTAAAAATAGTGGTTCTTTCTATGAAGCAGAATTGATTACATCTAGAAGAGTACAAATACTGTCCACTGTCTGCTGATGATTTAACCCCTGCTTATCTTGAAAGAAGAATTAGACAATAAAATTTCACTTAACCTCATATTTGGCTAATAATAAAAACCTACAAGTGTGCATGTGGCTAACTCCCTTACCATGTGAGTTATCCTTCAAAGACAGCACATGTTTGTGTAACGGAAATTGTCCACCTTATACGCCAAAATTATTTCATGCACCCAAAGCCTGAAAGGTGCTTTTTGGCAGTTTGTCTTTGGCGTGGGGATGGGAAGTATCAGAGGAGAAAATACTCCTTGGAGCTGTGATCTTGAGAGATGAAGGGATGAAGGTGAGTTGTGAGGTGGAAAGATGGGCTTCCTCCTTGGTTGCTTGGATCCTGCATTGGCTCTGGATACCCTGTCGAGCACTTTCTTTGTTAGTATCACCATCATATTATTTTCTTAGGCATTCTATTGGCTTCCTCCTCACAGCACCTGTCCCTTCCCTGCTGGTTGGCAAGGCTTCGTGGCTGACGTCCCTGTGTGTGTTGCAGTCTGTGATCTTTGGCCGCTTATCTCATGCCTTTTCTTTGTGATGTTTCAGCTCATCCACCATATACCATGTGCTTTAGAGTGAAATTCTACCCACATGAACCCTTGAAGATTAAAGAAGAGCTCACAAGGTATTTTTCTTTTCTGCATTTTACTCTCTACCGCTTGTATACAGTCAGAGCCTCTGCTGGCTTAAAAGTTAGACAATTCCTAATATCTCTATCCGAGCACCTCCAGGGAGCAGACACTGGAGTCAGAATTGTGCTCCTCTTACTCTGGATGCTCTTGGGATATTTTATAGGGAACCATTGTCATTGAGAAAGTATTACCTGTACAAGACAGCAATGGTTATGAGAGAGGGGCTCACGGGCCATTTGGCAGCGGGGTGCTGACAGTAAGCAGAAGATGTTAATGCAGAGGGCAGCCCTAGTCTGTCTTTGGATCTAAACCTTTCTGGAAGGACAGATTTCTAGAGTGGACAGTTAACTGGTCAGTTTCTACTTGTTAAGTGACAGCTGCCAGGTCTTCCCTTCATTTTTGGACTCTCTTCAGCCTAACCCTGTGAACTGTGTACGTCTCAGACTTTTCTTTCCTCTCTCTCTCTCTCTGCTGGGTTGACGTTCAGCTAACCTTGGAGTTTTGTTTCCCTACATACTTGGTAAAAGTTGCTGAGCAAGACTCCAACATGGCCATTTTCTGGATGGACATGAGAAAGAGCTGTTGCGTACTTACTTCTTGATAAGGCTCTAGTTTGGTGACATCCAAATTGCCATATGTAATTATAGCTAACAATAATCTGCATAGGTCCTGATCCAGCAGAAAGGCAAACACATGTTGTTCCGATTATTGGCAGGTGGAATGTTAAGGTCTTAGCAGATTTTGCTGTACTGTTATCTGTAGCCTATAGTGATAGTTGGCCATAGTAGTGAAGGGAGCAGATAGTTGTTTTATCTGATTAATTTGTCCAGAGCCCTTTCATGACATTTGTGCTGGGAGTACAGGAGCAGAGACAGAGAGTGTGTGTGGTGTGGTATGGTGTGTGTGTGTGTGTGTGTGTGTGTGTGTAAGAGAGAGAGAGAGAGAGAGAGAGAGAGAGAGAGAGAGAGAGAGAGAGAGAGAGAGAGAGATGTGAAGGAGAAAAAGTATGTAAGAGATATTTCAGGTAAGGTTATTTTGCAATCCTTTTTTATTTTAATTGAACTAAATTAATTTCACAAGCACCTTAATAATGTTTGGAAAAAGATTACCACTATTGAATACCAGAATATTTTCACTATTCCATTAGAAAAACAAAAACACGTTATTTAACAGCATTTATGATCTGTCTCTCCATTCTAGCCCCAGGAAACAGCTAAACTATTTTCTATGTCTATAGATTCATCTCCTCCAGATACTTCATGTCAGTGAAATGGTGGGGTTTATATCTTTGACCTGATTTGTCCTGAATTTTTAAAATTTGTTTATAATTTATTTGATTAATTTTTCCTCAGTTCTAAGTATTTGCCCTGGTGGAAGTGTACTAAACTGTTTTCTATGTCTATAGATTCATCTATTCTAGATACTTCACATCAGTGAAATGATGGGGTTTATCTCTTTGACCTGATTTGTCCTGAATTTTTAAAATTTGTTTATAATTTATTTGATTAATTTTTCCTCAGTTCTAAGTATCTACCCAGGTGGAAGTGTACAATGAGATAGACAAAACACACACACACACAACAAAAAACCAAAATAACACCATTGGCACCACCCCAAACCTCAAATAACAACAATAAAAAACCAAAAGAGAATATGCACAAAAAATAAATGACCCACCTAAAGCCATATCAAAACCCCAAGACAATTTTTTTAACTGGAAGAATCCCTGAATGTACTAATAGCATAATTAATAATATATATACATACATATGTATGTAATAACATTCATACATATTTTATTGTATACTTATATGTGTATAGTGCATACATATGTGCACACATGCACATATATCTATATGAGTATAATATGGATGTTCTATTATGTATATATTATTTACACATATGAATCTGTTTTATATTATATATACACTATATACATATATGTGTGCATATGTAACAATAATAATCAAAGAAAAAAACTATCATAGTGAGAGTTGGAAGACTCTGGGTGAGGTTAGAGGAAGTGTAACTGGGAGAGGTTGGAGGAAAGAAATGGAAAGGGGAAAGTGATATGATCCTAATTCAATTGAAAACCTATGAAATGATTTATTTCTGTCATTTTTCTCTATAAATCTCTTTTCTTTTACTTTTGAAGTTGTGCTATAATCACATTGCTTCCTTCTCTTTCCCCACTCTAAGTCCTTCATATGCATCTCCCCCATGCTCCTCTTCAGATTCATAGCGTCTGTTTTTAATAATTGTTATTACATGCATATATGTATAGGTCTGTACATATATACTTCTAAATATAACCTATCTAGTCCATATAATGTTAGTTGTATATATGTTTTCAGAACTGACCATTGGGTACTAAACAACCAATTGGTGAAGAAACTTTGAACATGCATCACAATCTAATACAAAGAATGAGTCAGTTGTTAACAAGTCTCATTTGTTAATAAAATTCATACCACATTATAGTTAATAACTCTAATATCTATCAGTTTTTTGTTTTTATGCATAAACTATTTTGTGTGTATATATCACATTTTCTTTATCCATTCATTAGTTAGTGAATATTTGAACTGCTAATACTTTTTAGTTATAGTTAAAAATGAGCATAAATGTACAAATTTTGATCAGAGACTGGATGCTGGTACCACTTAAACATATATAGAATTGGTATTTTTTCCTTAATCTTGTTTTTTAATTAGTTCATTGTGAGTTTTGTAAATGAATTTTGACCATTTTCAGTCTCCCTCCTATTCCCCTATCTACTCCACCTCCCTTCCCACCCAATTTTGTGTTTCTTTTCCCCAGGCAATAAGAGTTTGTATTACCCCAGTATTCTTGGACGTGTGGCCTTCCATTAGAGCACAGTGAATTTACTGGGGTCTACCTTCTTGGATAAATAAATAAGCAACTCTTTCCCAGCAGTCAACAACTGTCAATAGCTCTGTGCCTGGTGGGTGGTCTTCAAATCCAGTTCTCCTTCCCATGGTGGAATTTTCTCTGGTTTGAACTTAACAAGTCTTACATATCCTATAATAACAGCTTTGAGTTCTTAAGTGTAGTTTCCCTTCTGTGTCCAAAAGACAGTGTTTCTGCGCAGTCATCTACCGTATCTGGCTCTTACACTCCCTCTGTCATCTTTGGAAGAAGGGGCTGATGATTTGCATGTTCCATTTAGAGTTGACTATTCTGCAGTCTCTTATTCTCTGCACCTTAGCCAGTTGTGGGTCATTGTTTTGGTCATCATCTAGTGCAAATGGAAACATCCTCTCTGATTAAGGTTGAGAGGTACCTTAATCTATGTGTGTAACAATAATCATCAGGATTTGGTTTGCCATAATATATGTTTAGCAGAGTAAGTACAGTAGGTTACATTCTAGGACCTCTAACCTGTCTAGTCAGAGTTTCTCAGTCCCATAATGGTGCCAAGTATGGGTTTCGTCTTGTGGAGCAGGGCTTAAATCCAACCAGAAAACTGTTAGTTGCTTGTATATTGTTCAATCCGTTATAGCTCCAGTGGACATGTCTTGCTAGGCCAGGCATTGTGTCTTTCATGGTGCACTGCTCGCTATAATTAATGTTTATCCTGGCCTCTTGTAGATTACACAGTTCCTCCCAGAAGTTTGAAAGCTAGCCAGTAGAAAAGTTTTCATGTCAGTACCAGCTTCATTTCTCCATATTCTATAAGATTCAGGAATATGGTGTCATCAGCAGCTAGCTCTCACCACCAAGTTCTGGAGGGTAAGCAAGAGCATTGGCAATAGCATGCAATGTTTGGGGGTCTTAGTGACCTCATTTGCTAATAACTCCAAAATGTGCTACCTGCTCCTAGGACATACGTTTGTATTTGTCAGCCTGTTATAGGATAACTGCATTTCAACTCTTTTTATGTATGTGTAGAGATGTATGATGATTCTACAGTAGTAGGTTTCCATTTAACATTTTGGATATGTTTTTAGTGTTATTTCTCCATTCTGACTTTTCTCTTATACCCTGTCTCCCCCTTCCCCCTTCCCCATACCTATTTATATTTTCTTGTCCCATAATTTCCCTTTAACCCTTTATACCAGTGAAAACCCTTTCTATGGACACTGTAAGTTCCTAACTTCTGTGGGTTTCTCCCACTGAGTAAAGAAAACATGTACTAAAGATTCTACGCTAATGTCCACAATTGTGAGGAAAAAATGTGATTTTTTTTCTTTCAGAGCCAACTCCATCCATTTACTTGTGAATTTCATAATAGCGGATTAATATTCCATTGTGTAAATATGCTGTGTGTTTTTTGTCCATTCGTCTGCTCATAGACATCTAGGCTGTTTCCATTCCTGACTATTGTGAATACTGTGGCAGTAGACATATTTGAAGAAGTATCTCTATAGCAGGATATAGAGCCTTTTAGGTATATGGCCAAGAGTGGTATAGTGTACCATGTATTAGATCTATTTACTGTTCTTTGAGGAACCTCCACACCGATTTCCATAGTGGCTACACCATTTGCACTCCCACCAGCAGTGAATAAGTGCTTCCCAATTCCCATAGCAATGCCAGAATCTGTCATCATTGGCTTTTGCATCTTATCCATTCTGACTGGGGGAAATGAAATCTCAAAGTACATTCAATTTGCATTTGTCTGGTGGTTAAGGATAAGAGCTCCACCTCCCATAGTGATTCTCACATCCACTGGAGAAACTTATTCTCCAAAGTGTGCTCGTGACATAGAATCACCAGGTAGTTCTGAATACACAAATATCCTACCTACCTACTGAATCAGAATAACATTTTGACAACATCTTTGGGTAATAAATGTGCTCATTGAAGATGGCAGATTTCAGCACAGGAAGCTAGTCTAGATTGTCAATTCAAACTGAGTAATAAAGTTATTAGCTACTTTGTCTCTATAATGCAATTATGTACTAACATGGAAAAAGGTCGCCTTTTGAATCTGCCAAGTGTCCTTAATACCTCAATGGCTAGAATAATGCATAGTGTAAAGTGAGACAAAGATCCATGTGAAGAAAGCACCAGTAAGCCAGTGAATCCTTCATTGTGTCCAGTGTGATTTCAGTGAAGCAGCTCCCAGCACTGGCAGCTCTCTCGCCCTGGACCAAGGAAAATCTTTATGATATTAGCACACAAATCTCTCTCTGGTTTTCCATTTCTCTATCTTTAAAATGGAATCTTGCTTTGGCTCATCATAAGGCTGAGTAAAGAGCAAATTACCAAGTAGTAGAGGTATTCAGTCAGAGTTTTTCCTGTTATTTTGTGTGTGTGTGTGTGTGTGTGTGTGTGTGTGTGTGTGTGTGTGTGTGCGCGCGCATGTGTTTGCATGAAGCTTATTATAAGGAATTACCTTGCATCTTTATGGAGGTTGAAAAGCCTCGCAGTCTTCAGGAGAGAGGCTGCAGAGGGCCACTGGATTCCATCCAGGTCTGAAGGACTAAGGGTAAGGATCATAAAAAGCAGAATATTCTAGTTCTCACTGTTAGAGTAAAGTCACCCTCCCTCTTCATTTCTGCTTCATTCATTCCTGTAACACATTACACCATGTTCACCCCAAATAGAGTAGTCATCTGCTTTGCTGTTTCTCTAACTCCCTACAAATCATGCGCATAAACACTGTAAAGGCATCCAGAAATCATGGCTAGCTGTGTGTGGTCCAGTTAAGCTGATATCCAAAATTAATCATCTCAAAACTGTAACTGATGGATTGAAAGGATTTTTAAGGGTTCCCCCTAAAGGGGGCAAGGGTCTCCTGTAGGTAAATGTTAAAATTGGCATGAAATTAATGTTTCCTTGGGTAAAAAAACAAAACAGATGGGGCGGGAGAGATGACTCAGAGGTTAAGAGCACTGACTGCTCTTCCAGGGGTCCTGAGTTCAATTCCCAGCAACCAGGTGATGACTCGCAAGTATCTACACATCAATCTGTTGCCCTCTTCTGGCATGTAGTCAGAAAACCATGTATGTGATAAATAAATCCTAAAAAAAAATAAAAAACAAACAAAAACAGACTCCTCCCCCCTTCCCCCCAGTCCTGAGCTTGGAGAGATAAAGTCAATTTGGTTAAGAAAGAGCATGGAACCTGAAAAGAATTTGATCTGCATAGGCTCTCAAGGGACAGAAACAAGGAGTGGAAGCCAGTGTCTATAAAGTATTGCCTCTAGATTTTTTTTTTTATCTACAATGCTCTTTCTTTTTTAACTATAATGCTACATGGCAGGTTCAATATTAACTATAACATTATGGTAATATTTATCAATGTAAAGATTTCCCTTGTAATACAGTCTCTTGAATTTGCTCATAAAGTGAACACATCTTTCCACCTTTTCTAGAAGACAACCCAGGCAGAGTTTCATAGTAGCTGATCCTGCCATAATATAGTCCACTTTTCATTCTGCTTCCCCAGCCCAATTTACCAAGCACATTTGTGCCTCTACAGGTATCTGAGTTTCTCTGCAGAGGAGCAGAGACCAAATACAAAGACGCAAAAGCCCAATCCAAGTGTCAGTCAACTGGATTTGACCTCATAACCAAATTTGTTCCTGTTGTTTGGTTTCTATTGAGTAATTACTATGATGCTGTCTCATCTTGAGGAACAATGAGCATATACTAATTGAACCCAGCTCTTGATTAAAAGTACACATAAAATAAAGTTTAAAAACAAAAATTTCAAAAGACACTTGGGATATGGATGATATAAGTTGTGGTTTTCCTTGTGTGGAGTAGTGACTGCTGGGCCATGTGTTTCTTGATTATTCCTGGGTTTCTTAGAAAGGCCGAGCCCATTTATCTTTGGAAGCTCACGTAAGTTTTGGGTTTCTACACTGTGAAATCTCCACTTCTTTCTGCATGTACTCATCAAAGGGGAGCTTGATGTGTCTAAGCTACTGCCTAGAGCTAGGTATGACTTTGTGGTTCAGGTAGACAGAGCATAGCAATTCCTACTTCCAGGCTCCAACTAACACTTAAGATGAATATTTCTCCTTCTCTGTTGCAGATACCTTTTATATTTGCAAATTAAAAGAGACATTTTTCATGGTCGACTGTTGTGCTCCTTTTCTGATGCTGCCTATCTGGGTGCTTGTATCGTTCAAGGTGAGTCCAGTCCCAGCCTACTCATCCCCTCCACTGCAGTGAGCAACGGAACTTTATTCTGTTCCTCTCTTCCCTGGCACCTGGTACTATCCTGTCTTTGTCTATGTGGGATTCTAGATGTGACTAAGTAGTTTGCACAGATTCACGTATACACTTTCCATCCCAAGCCATTGATCCTGGCAGAAGGCTGAGCTCCAGTATTCACAGTGCTTTGCTCACATTTAAAGACTTCCAAATCCCAGAGTAGAATGTGGTGGAGTCTGTTTTTCAAGGAGACAGACCATCATTTTACAAGACTTTCTATATTGATGTGGGTAACTGGTGTCCTGATTCCACCTATCAAATGTGAGACCTAATAAGCATATCAAGGGGTAAAGCCATATCAAGGAAATAGATTTTGAGCAAGTCAGTCATTCTTCAATCATATTTCATATGCGCATGTATTTTTTATAAATTCCTCAGCTTTTCTAGACATATAAAAAATGAAGAGACCACGAAGTTCATAAATCCATTCAGTGAATCTTTCCTCTCTTTTTTTCCTAGTTATTTTGTCAAACATAAGTTACTTGAGTTATTGAAGCTTCAGTGTTTTCCTGTATAAAATGGTAGTCATAAGTCCATCTCCATGGAATTTCATGACACTACTGTGAATTAAGCCAAAGAAAGTTAGAGAACATAAGAAGTGGCTGCTATTCTTTTTTTTAGGGATGAGCATAGCCCTATTGTGTCAGGAGGGCTAAATGTGCTCACTGGACTTGGAGTCTGGATGCTTCTATTCTTTTGTTTTAATGCTAATTTTAAAAAGACACTTTGCCCCAGCCTAATCAACAAGAGCAAATTCCAGGTCAGCCTCCAAAGCCACAAAGAAACCCTATCTCAAACTCCCCTCCAAAAAATACACATTTGAGTTGGTATGATTTCAAAGATTAGTTTCCCATTTCATAATTTGTTTTTTTGGTTTGTGAGATTATAATATAATTTTATTATTTCCACCTGTGTTTCCTCCATCCAAATCTTACCATATACCGCACCTTGATCATTTTAAAATTCATGAACTCTTTTTCAGTATTTTTACATTTTATATTTATATATAAATATATATGTATGTATTTCTCAGTCTGTATAATGATATGGTACATGTTTCATGATTTCACGGCTCTCCACTTGCTATTAGATGACCAATTGGTGTGCATGCTCAGGTGACAAGTATTTCCCCCATCCTCGGCATTTTTTAGTGCCTGTAGTACTTTTGTGTAGGGTTTGGGCTTCTTGAGCTTTCCCATGTCCATGTCTATTGTTGGTGTCCTTTTTCAACAATGTTTCGGCAGTCATGCTGGTAAGAACTCATGGGCGTAATTTCTAACAATCTGAGAATACACAATGTATGGAAAAGCCCCTATCCTCTGGTTCTTGTGATCTTTCCACCACCTCTTGCACAATATTACCTGAGCCTTGGGTGTGGGGATTGTTTCATAGATATACCTATTCGGGCCAGGCTCTCCAACTCTGCATTTTGATTGGTTTTGGTTTTCTGAATGGTCTTTATCTGTTGCAAAGAGAAGTTTCCATGATGAGAAATGAAACTAAACTTACTGCTGATATAAGGACAAATGTTTAGAATGTAGTAAGGGATTATGCTGCCTTAGCAAATTAGCAGTTGTAGGTCCACCTCCAGGATCCATGGCTTCACTAGTCCTAGGGAGTTGTTACCAAGCATGACTTTTCTCTTATTGAACAGATCTTAAGCTCAATTAGAGAGCTGTTGGTCATCACCAAGGTATGTGTGCAACTCACTACTGCACTTTCAGGGTCATTTTACTATGTTGCTCATTATTGGGATTTATGGACCTCATAGCTGGGTAGCCTTGTTGATTGCATTCCTCCTTTGGAAGGATACATGATGTCTTATGATACCATCTAAGTTAAACCTCAGGTAGAAAGCTTTCAAGTCAGTTCCTGTTCAGGGGCCTCTGGTCCCTGTTTCTGAAGTGCATGTTGTCTTCAGCAATAGAGACTTACCTTTCACCTCTGAGAGGAAATAATGGCAATAACAAGTCTGTAACATTTTGTGAGTTTCTTGAACAGCCCTAACCAATAATTTAAAAGAGGGCTTCTCACGCTTGCTGTTGGGATTTTTATAAGATCATCTTTGACTCTTTGATGGAGCATTGTCAGCCAAGATGGGAAATTTTCATTTAAACTATTCATGTATATTTGGACACAGACTTATGTGTATTATAGGTTTTTTAAGGCAAATGGCTATTACTATAATTCCTTATCACTCTTTTAGAAATTCTGACAGTTATTTTACCCTCCTCTGTCATTGTACATTTATCTCCCTCTCCCAGCCTTAATTAGAGCACCTCCTGCTTTTCCCTTTTCCCGTTTCCTCATCAGAGCACTTAAACCCCTCTACCCCCATCTTTATTGTGCCCCTAGCCTTGCACCCCTGCAATGGTCTCTTTTTAATTTCTTTCTGCACTTAATCCAAGATACATATCTGAAAACTTGAAACTATGAGCCTTAGCTGAGACAGAACATGGGATGGTTGTCTTTTGGGGACTGGAATACTCAATATGATTTTGTTTTAGATTCACCCATTTGCCTTCAAAAACCATTTCATATTTCTTTACAGCTGAATAGTATTCCGTGGTGTATATGTACCACACTTTCATTATCCGTTTATCAGTTGAAACACATTTAGGTTGTTTCCTTTTCAAGGCTATTGTGAATAGAGGAGCAATGACCATGGATGAGCAAGTTTCTGGGGAAGAGGATATTGAGTCACTTGGACACATGATAGGGGATATGAATTTGTGTTTATTTTTTAAGTATTCTCTCCACTGATTTCTATATTGGTTAGATCAGTTTACAGTCCTGCCAGTGGTGAATGAGGGTTCTCCCTCCCCCTAACCTTACTCAGCATTTGTTTAGTTTTTGATCTTGGCCGTTCAGACAGGGATAAGATGAAGTCTCAAAGTTGTTTTAAATTTGAATTTTACTAATAACTGGGGATGACAAAATTTTTAATCTGGTTTTCTTCTTCCTTCTCCTCTTCCTCTTCTTCTTGAGAACTCTCTGTTTATAGACCAGTCCAGTTTTTTGGATGGGTTGGATTTTTGTTGATGACAATGGTGATTTTATTTACTTATTTAATTTTGAATCTTTGGGTTTTTTTTAGTTCTATATATATTCTGTGTATTAATCCTCTGATAGCTGGGGAAGATTCTCTCCCATTCTGTGGGCTTCTATTCATCCGTTTGCTTCTTTAGCTGTGTAGAAGTTTTTTGGTTTTATGAAGCCTCACTTGTAAGTTGGTGGTCTTAATTCCTGGGCAAATGGAGTCCTATTCAGGAAATTTTCTACAGTGAGGTCTGGGCCTATAGATTTCTTTTGTTAGATCCATGTCTGATATGAAGAGAACAGGTTGGGACAGAAGAAAGAATGAGTGAGTGGGTTGGTCCTAGAATTAGGAACTAGTTTAGGTGGGATTATGTCGTGTGAACAAAAGAGACTGGTTTGATGTGCATTCTCGTTCATATCTGAAATGTGATGTGAGTGTAGACCTGGCTGGCTGGAGAGGCTGATGTCAGAGACACCTGTGTTATAGAACACCAAAGAAAGGTCCTAGTAGAAGCCTAGAGGCTAGTTTTGGTATAGCCAACTGTGGCCAGACTAGGATAAGACATTGGATATGGGATCTAGGCTGGATCTGGAGAATTATCTAGGGTATGTGGAGAGCAGAGTCTAGCAGAATCACCTAGCTGAACCATGGAGTCTGCCTAGGTGAAGGTTCAGTGTGACATGGGAAGGGTTTGTGGATAGGAAGGCAGGCAGATCAAGTTCTGGAGGAAGCCCAGAGGTTGGGTGTGATACAAGCAAAGGTTATAGACAATGTGGAACCTAGAATAGCTCTAGCAGGTAAGGAAGGGTACCTATCGAGGAACATCAGGCAGATTTTCCAGGCTAGACACTGGAAAGGGGGCACTTCTATTATTAAAATAGATTTTGAAAGAAGAGGCCTGAGGGGCAGAGGCAAGAATGGTCCAAGTACCTAAGTGAAGAAGAATTCATTCTGTTCTCCTGGACCCACTGGATGGCAGCTAGCCACATGGATTCCTTGTGGAACTTAACTCTAATGTTCTAGCATAAATCTTTTTTGTTTTAATTTATTACATTTAGCTATTATTTGTACATATATGTGTCCACAGATGTATATGGGAGATGTGTTCATACTATGGAATGCATTTGGAAGTTAGAGAACAAATTGCAGAACACAGAACTAGTTCTATCTCTTGATGTAGGTACCTCAAGTCAGTTGACAGCAATTGTCTTAACTTCTGAGCCATCTAATTAGCCCTGTATCATGAACTCCAATGACATATTTATGGGAAGAAAAGATGGAGAAGAAAGAGGAAGACAGTAAGGCAAGGGATAGGGTGATGAATCACTATGTCAGTTTTTTACAGTAGTTCTACAGACAGTACTGTAGGTATATGATCTGTAAACCTAAAATGGAGGCCACACTCCTTTGGGTGTGGCTTCAGGCATATGGGAAGCTGAAAGAGAAAAGAAGGGAGCTTGAGGCATGGCTTTCCTTGGAGCACTCTTTCTTTTGGGTGAGTGGATCCAGTAGGAAGAACAGGGAAACACTTCATCATTTCTTTGTATTTTTCGATGTAATTGTTCCCCAATAAACACCCATTTATCATTTATCTTGGGTCTACTGATATAATTATATCCTCACCTACAAATTTAAGGTCAATTTTGTGATGTGTATATTTCTCTTCTTGTTTAGGTATTGTGTTTATATAGCTCATTTAGAATGTGATATAATTAAATACAGATTATATATAGTGACCTATAACAGTCAAAACTTATATTTAGGTTAGTTAGGTTTTCTAGATATACAATGATATATTTGAAGTGGACAGTCTTCAAACCTTTCAAAGACCTATAGACTATGGCATTTAAAATGGCTTAGGGTTTTTCATGGCAGCACAACTGCTCCTGGCAACTCCAATTACTAAAGAGGAATATATGGGCATCGAAGAAACTCATAATGGAGTTTACCTTTGAAATGGCAAGACTGGCCATTTGAGCAAAAGACTGATCTTCTGGACTGTTTGCCTGTATGCTGTATAAAGTGGACATGCACGAACCACAGGAAAGTGACTGCTGAAACAAGATGGGATAGTCCTGAAGGGTTCCTGCTTCATGGAAGAGTCTGCTAGACATTCTGCAGGGCACAGAGAAAAATTGCTGACAAACTGTCAATACAGGTGCACAGTTTCAAATTTCCTGCTTTGCTGAGAAGTCTGCCAGACACACTATGGCTAATGGGCCAAAGATGGATGCCCCAATGTTACAGAGTAACTTTGGGTGACTGTCTAGGCAGTGAGATATCAATTCAAGAGTTTATATACTATCATTCTGTGTTCTTTAATGGAGTTGAAAACAGTTATAGTTATGACTTTCCTTAGTTATGATAAAATATAAGCTACATATAAGACTTTAGACTCACAAAGATAGGATAGATGATAGAATATTTTCTTTAAATCTTGCTAAATGTTAATGGACTAAATATTGTAACTATAGTTCTTCCTTGATAACTGTTTTGCCATATATATAATTTTACTGTGTTAAAATTAAAACCTTTTTTTTATTTAGACAGCAAAGAGTAAATGATAGGGAATGTCTTCTGTATATATGTGTGTCTTATTGGTTGATGAGTAAAGCACTGTTGAAACAAGATAGGTGAGACTAGGAGAGAAGGAGGATTCTGGAAAATGTAGACAGAGTCATTCACCATGTAGGTTGTTGGAGGAATAACACCATACTGGGAATTGCTGGGTAAGCCACAGCCTCATGGCAATACATAGATTGATAGAAATGGGTTAGTAATTAAGACAGAGCTAGCTAATAAGAAACCCTAAATAATGGCCAACAGTTTCATAATTAATATAGCATCTGAGTGTTTCTTTGGGACTGAGGCAGCTGCAGAACCAGGCAGGAACTCTGCAACACAGTACCAAAAGAAAACACACAAGAAACAAAGCAATGAAATCAAAGCAAACAAAAAATAAACAAACAAAACCCTTTATGACAAAATAATGCCAAAACAAAATAAAACTTGGCTTATGGAGCCCTGTCTTGACCCCGTTGCTCATCACTCCTCCCTCTCTGTAACAGGTTTCTGGGAGTTCGGTTCAATGTTTAGCTGTGGGTGTCTGCCTGTGCTTCCATCAGCCACTGGATGAAGGTTCTAGGATAGCATACAAGGTAGTTGTCAATCTCATTATCATGGAAGGGTATTTAAGGTAGCCTCTCCACTATTGCTTAGATTGCCAGTTGGTGTCATCCTTGTAGATCTCTGGAAATGTCACTAGTGCCAGATCTCTCCTCAAACCTATAATGGCCCCCTCTATTAGTACTTGTTGTTATCTGCTCCTATCTTTGTTGGGTGGGCATTCTGTTCTTTGGTTTCTGTGCTCTGTCTGGTTCGTAGGAAATTGTAGTAGCTGTGTGTTGACTGGAATTGTTTCTTAGATCCTGCCAGGTGTGGCCACTCGGGGTTCTGGGTAGAATGTGTTTGTAAGTATAAGGAGCTGACACTTAGAAATGGGGATGGGCTAGAAAGGGGATAAAGGGTGTCCACAGGAAGGAGAAAAGCAAGGTATGCATGCCACCAGGATCTGCTTAGTCCCTTGAGAGGCAGAGAGGCAGGAAAAGTCATAGCAAGCACTGTCCTACTTATCTGGGAATGAGACTGGGGTTCCTCTATGTTATCACTGTTCTCATTGTATGCTCCACACTGCATAGTCTTTTCACAGCAGCTCAAGACAGAGTGTTCTTGGTCTAAAAAACTATTAGCTGCGAATATGACCTTCAGTACACATTCTTGAAAATATTGCAAGTTTGTGTTGGCTGATTATTCCTGGGTAGGGGACCAGCTCTAGAGTATTCTTGATATACTAAGTATCACACTTCTAAAGGAAAGTTACTCTCCTTCCAGTATCAGCCAAATGTCAATGTCTCCTCAGCTAGGAGTGGGTTTCTGTGTCTGCATCCTCTACTCCATGCTGGGATTTTTGTCTGGCTTAAGTTTGTGCAGATCTTGTGTATGCTGTTGCAATTGCTGTGAGTTCCTATGTGTTTCTGCCTTGTTCAATCTAGAAAATACTATTTCCTTGAAGTCATCCACCACTACCTCCAAAAATTTTGGAATTTTTTTTTGCTTTTAAATTGTTAAGCTTTGTATATATTCTATACTGTTTCATTTCTCCTTTGAGCATTTCAAATACTGATTTCTAGATTTCTAGTCATTTTCATCCTCACCTCTATGTCTGTCCAGATCTTCCCCTGCTATCTATTCATCCAACTTCATGTTTCTCCCCCGTCCTCTTTTCTTCCCTCCAGATTATGTATGGTGTCACAATCTCTGTGAAGTTTTATGTGTGTGTGTGTGTTTTTGTGTGTGTGTGTGTGTGTGTGTGTGTGTGTGTGTGTGTGTGTGTGCCTGTTCCCTTTCTTATCTGGGAAACAGCTTCTTGAACTTACCCACTGCCCCTAGATTCATTTTTCCATATTGATCCCTGAGCTTGAGGGGAAAGATATAATATGCATGTCCCATATAGGGATGAGAACTCTGAAGTTTCTTTTCTATACATGTTCTCCAGTTATGTGTCTCTATGTTTATTGTTTATCTGATGAGGGTTGGCCTATATCCATTTATTAGAATGATAGGAATAGGTTTTACCATAGGACCTATGCCCTATCTAGTCACAAGTTCTTAACCACATTGACAATATCAGGTATGGGTTCCATCTCATGGAGTGGTACCTAAATCCATTTTAAAAAAAGAGTTTGGCATCATAACATATGTGTTTCTATTGCATCATTTGACATATCTTACCAGGCTTATAGAGTTCAGAACTTGATGACATTAATGATTAATTGTCTCCTCCAGCAGTATTCATAACAAACTCTGGTGGAGGAAGTCCTTCTGTGTATATGTTTCTCTTATTGGTTGATGAATAAAACACTGTGGCCAATAGAGGCAGGGAGATAGACAGGACTAGGAGATGAGGAGAATTCTGGAAAAGGTTGGTAGGACAGTCTCCATGTGAGCCACCAAAGGAGTTAAAGGTCCAGACCCTTCTCCAGTAAAATGACCACATGGAAATATTTATAGTAATAGAAATGGGTTAATAATTAAGACAGAGCTAGCCAATAAGAAGCCCTAGTCACTGGCCAACAGTTTCATAATTAATATATGACTTTGAGTGTGTATTTTGGGGCGCAAGGGCAGCGGGAACTGCCGAACCAAGAATTTCATGTAACAAAACTCCAGCACTATGAAAGCTAGTCATTAGAGATGAAATTTCCAGTTGCTTACCAGCTAAATTTCTCCATGTTCTGTAACTCAATTATATAACATCTTCAGCAATATGTCCTTATTGTCCACTTCTGGAAGATAACCAGTAGCATTGGAAATAGTTTGTAATGTCTACAAGAAGTCAATGAGAACTCATTGGCCAATATTTCATAGCACATGGTAGCTAGCTGAAATCTACCCCATTATATATTACACCATAATGATTTTACTGTTAGTTGTTCCTTCCCCAAGACTCCTCTACCCTCCCTTCCCACCCTGACCCAACTTAATCTTTCCTGTTACATTTTTGTCCATTGCCCCTTTGTAATATTATGTTCTATTTTATCTATCTTGAAAACCCCCTCCTCCACTTAGGCTCCTTATTATTTGCCTAATTTCTATGACTATTCCAAATTAAACACATATATTTAATATTTTAAAGCTAACTTCCATATGTAAGAGAAAACATGCAATCTTTGCCTTACTGAGTTTTGATTGTCATACTCAAATAACTGTTCCCAGTTCCATCCTTTTATGTGCAAATTTAGTTTTCTTAACAGCTTGAATAACCTTCTATTGTGTATGTGAAACATATTTATATTATGCATTCATTAGGCGATGGAGATCTAGGCTGTTTCCATTTCCTGAATGTTGTGAATAAGGCAGCAATGAACATAGATTAGTAAGCATTTCTTATTTTTTGGTTGTGAGCCTAGCATTTAACGGCTGAGCCATTTCCCATAGTAAGCTTCTCTGTAGTTAACAGAGTCCATTAGCTATATGTTCAAGAGTGGTATAGGCAAAATTCAAAGAATAACTAATCATACTCCTCAAAATAGTCTGCAAAAGAGAAACTTGAAGGAATACTTTCAAATTCTTTTTTTATAAAACCAATATCACCGTCATACCTTAATTAAGCAAAGACTCAATAAAAGAGGAAATTGTAAGCCAATATTTCTGATGAACATAGCACTAAAATTCTCAGTAAAATACTCCCAAAACTAAATTCAGGAAGATATCAGAAAGATTATTCACCATGGTCAAGTTAACTTTATCCAAGAGCTGCAGGAATGGTTCAGCATAGTAAATATTTTTTTAAAACAATCTAACAAATAAATACACTAAAAGTCATTTCATTAGATGCAGAAAGGCCTTTAACAGAAACCAGTATCTCTTCATGACAAAAGTTCTGGGGAAAATAAGGAAACAAGGGACATATCTTAACATTATGAAGGCATTTTACAAGCTCTGGGCAAACATCACACTAACTGGAGAGAAAGTCAAAGCATTTCCACTAAAACCAGAAGCAAAACAGGATATCTACTAGCTCCATTCCTGTTCATTATGTCATTCAAAGCCCTAGTTAAAGCAATAATACAAGTGAAAGAGACAAAGAGGACAAAAATAGGAAAGAAAGAGATCAAAGTATCCTGATTTGCAAATGATACAGTTTTATGCATAAAAGCCCATACAGATTCCACAAGGAAGCTTCTACAGCTCATAATACATTCAGCAAAGTAGCAGATTACAATATTAAGACAAAGCAATCAGTAGCCTTCCTATATACAAAAAAAAAAAACAGACAAAGGAAAAGAATACCATTCACAGTTGGGCAGAATGAAAAGTGAAATATCTTGAAACAAGCCTAACAAAAGAGCTAAAAGATTTGTCTTAAAAAAAACTTAATTGAATGGAGGAAGATATGCAAAGATGACACCTCTCATATTCATGGATTACTAGTGTTAGCATTTTGAAAATGACCATTCTTTGAAAGCAATTTTCAGCTTACAATCCCTATCCAAATTCAAACACAAGTTTTTTTTAAAAAATCTTAAATTTCATTTGGAAATGCAAAAATCTCAGGATAGCTAAAACAACACTGAAAGGAAAACTTAGATGTCACCATTCCTGGTTTTTAATTATAGTAAAAGTTTACAGTAATACAGACAGTATGTTAATGAAATATAAACAGATACATTGATCAATGGAATAAAATTGAGGACCCAGACACATTCACATACCTTGAGACACCTGCTTCCTTTACAGACTTGAAAGGTATATATTAAAGAAATATATCATTTTTAAAAAATACTGCTCATGAAACTTGATAGCTGTATGTAGATGAAGAAAACTAGATGTATATCTTTACTCTGCACAAAACTAAACTCCATGTTTTGAGGACCTCAACCTAAGACCTGATAACTTAACAGAGATATTCTCACACGGACTTGCTCACCATTTATTCCTTTGTCTCAGCCACAAGTTCCCATGGGCATTCTGTGGGAGCCTGGTAGCCAAGCCAGCCAGAGGAGGTGGCAGGTACGTGGTCAGGTAAGCAGGTACATGATCCTATCTTCTCCCTTCCTCATCTTCTACGAATCCAGTCTCATTCCCAGATCAGTAGGACAGTGCCTGCTATGACTTTTCCCCTCTCTCTGCCCCGTAAGTGACTAAGCAGATCCTGGTGGCATGCATAACTTGCTTTTTTCCTTCCTGTGGACACCCTTAGCCCCCTTTCTAGCCCATTCCCATTTCTAAGTGTCAGCTCCCTATACTTATAAATACATTCTACCCAGAACCCCGAATGGCCACACCTGACAGGATCTAAGAAACATTTCCTACCAGTCAACACACAGCTACTACAATTTCCTACAAACCAAACAGGGCACAGAAACCAAAGAACAGAATGCCCACCCAACAAAGATAAGAGCAGATATCAACAACTACTACTATAATCATCCCAAGGTCCAAGCCTAGATGCCAGTGTAAAAACACAATCAATGACTGTCAGGACAATGTCTCCAGTAGGGCCCAACAATCCTACTACAGTATACTCTGAGAAAAGCAATATACCTGAATTAAAATAAAGGGACTTCAAAATTGCCTTTATCAATATGTTGTAGATGTCCTTAAAGAAAAAAATCAATACATCCTTTAAAGAAATACAGATAAATACAAACAGCAGAAAACAATGAGTAAAACTGTTCAAGACCAAAATGGGAATAAACCTACCACAAGACCCAGCAACTCCACTCTTAGGCATTTATCCAAAAGATGCCCATTCATACAACAAGGATGTCTGTTCCACTATGTTTGTAGCAGCATTATTTGTAATAGCCAGAAGTTGGAAGCAACCTAGATGTCCCTCAACCGAAGAGTGGATAGAGAAAATGTGGTACATTTACACAATGGAGTACTATTCAGCAGAAAAAAACAATGGAATCCTGAGATTTGCAGGCAAATGGATGACACTAGAAGAAACCATCCTGAGTGAGGTAATGCAGTCACAAAAAGAGAAACATGGCATGTACTCTCTCATATATGGATTTTAGACATAGATCTGGGGAATGCCAGCCTATAATCCCATGGCCAGAGAGTCTGGGAAACAGAAACTTCATTCAGTGGCTGATGGAAGAAGAGGCAGACTTCCACGGTTAAGTACTGAGCTGAACTCAAGAAAGCCAGTAACAGAGAGGGAGGACTGATGACCAAAGGGATTAAGACTGGGCTGGTTTAACCCCCAGAAACAGCTGACCTGACAAAGGTTAACTCGAATCCCAGGCATCAGCCTGGGAATCCAGCATGGGACTGATCAAGACCCCCTGAATGTGGGTGTCAGTGAGGAGGCCTAGGTAATCTATTGAGCCTTGGGCAGTAGATCAGTACTCATCCCGAGTATACACACAGACTTTGGACTCCCATCTAACAATGTGAGATGCACTCTCACCCTGAACTCTTGGGGGAGGGTCTAGGCCCTGCCCTGGATGAAATGACAGACTATGGACACCCCCATGGAGGGCCTCACCCTCCCTGGGGAAATGAGGGGATAATGGGGGGGTTGGGGGAGGGCAAGGGAGGAGGGGAGGGAAAGGGAGATGGACCTGGAACTGACTTGTGAAGGAACCTTGTTTCTAATCTAAATTTAAACTGAAAAAAAAAATTAAAAAAAATAAAAACTGTTCAAGACCTGAAAATGGAGATAGACCCAATAAAGAAAATCCAAACTGAGGGAATTTTGTAAATGAAAATTTTAGGAATTCAAACATGAACTTCAAATACAAGAGAGGGAAGAAAGCATCTCAGGAATTTAAGACACAATAGAAGAAATAGATATACCAGTCAAAGAAAATATTAGATCTAAAAAATTCCTAACATGAGACATCTAGGAATTCTCAGAATGAAAATATCAAATCTAAGAATAACAGGAAGGAGAATCCCATCTCAAAGACTCAGAAAAAGATTCCACAAAATCATAAAAGAAAATATTTCCTAACCTAAAGAAAGAGATGCCAACAAAGGTATGAGAAGCATACAGAACAAGAAAATGAAAGAAAAAGCATTAAAATCTCCAAGGAGAAAAGACCAAGTAATGTATAAAGGTAGACCTATTAGAATTAATCCTTACTTCTCAATGGAGATTGTGAAAGCCAGAAGGGTCTGGACAGATGAATTGCAGATTCTAAGAGACAACAGATGCCAGCCCAGACTACTATCACCCAGCAAATTTTCAATTAAATGGAGAAAAACAAAAAGGCATTTCATGACAAACCCAAATTTAAGCAGTATCTATCTACAAGTGCAACCCTACAGAGGGTGTTAGAAGGACAACTTCAGCCTGAAGAGGCTAGTCACACCCAAGAAAACACAAAGAATAAATAACATCAGAACACCAAATCAAAAGTGGGGATACCACAACAGCAAAATAGTGGGAATCAACAAATGCTGCTCATTGATAACTCAACATCAATGGTCACAATAGACACGAACACAGAGGATTAGAAAGCATGATCCATCCTTCTGCTGCATCTGGGAAACACACCTTAACAAGGATGGTCATTGCCTCAAGTTAAAGAGCTAGATAAAATTATTCCAAGAAAATGGACATAAGACAAGCCAGTGTAGCTGTTTTAATATTTGACAATATAGACTTCAAACCAAAACTGATCAGAAGAGATAGAGAAGGATACCAAATATCAACCAAAGAAAAGTTACCCAGCAGGATATTGCAGTTCTTAACGTCTACACACCAAACACAAGGGCACCCCAGTTCATAAGAGAAACACTACAGCTTAAATCACATATTGACCCTCACACAGTGATAGTGGGTGACATCAATATCCCATTCTCACCAAAAAACAGGTCATCTAGACAAAAACTAAATAGATAGGCTGGAACTAACTAATGTCATAAACCAGTAGACCTAACAGGTATCTACAGAACATTTCACCTAAACATAAAAGAATATAACTTCTTATCAGAAGCTCACAGAATGTTCTCCAAAACTGACCACCTACTTGGACACAAAGCAAGTCTCAACAGATATAAGAAAGTTGGAATAGCATCCTGCATCCTATCTGAACACCATGAATTAAGGCTGGACATCAACAGCAGCACAAAGCTTACAAACTCATGGAAAATGAACAATGGACTGCTGGATGTAAAATGGGTCAAGACAGAAATGAAGAAAAAATGAAATCTTTTAGAATTGAATAAAAACAAAATGCAACATACCCAAACTTATGAAGCAATGAAGGCAGTACTAAGAGGCAACTTCATAGCACGAAGTGCCTATGCTTAAAGTTTAAAAAATGGAGAGCTCTAATACTAGTAACTTAACAGCACACCTGAAAGCTCTACCACAAAAAGAAGAAATAAAACCAAAAAGGGAATAGATGGCAAGAAATACTCAAACTTAGGTCTGAAATTAAAAAAAAAAAACAGAAACAAAAAATTACAAAGACTCATTGAAACAAACAGTTTCAATTAAGAAACTGATTATTAAGAAAATCAATAAGTTTTGGAAATCCTTAGCCAAAGTAACTAAAAGTCAGGAAGAAAAGATGCAAATGAATAAAACTAGAGATGAAAGGGGGCATAACAACAGACATCAAGAAAATCCAGAGAATCATAAGAACGTACTTAAAAAATGTGTATTTCACCCAGTTGGAAAACTTAAAACAGTGGATGATTTTCTCTATATTTATCACATACTAAAGTTGAATACTAAAGTTAAATCAAGACCAGGAAAGATGTATAAACAGAGTTATAATCCCTAGTGAATTAGAAGCCGTAATTTAAAATCTACCAACACCCTCCAAAAAAAGGCCAGGACAAAATGGTTATAGCACAGAATTCTACCAGTCATTCAAAAAAGAGTTAACCCCAATAATCCATAAAATAGACACACAAGGAGCATTGCCTAGTTGTTTTTATGAGGCCACAGTTATCCTGATACCTAAAACACACAAAGACCAAACAAGGAAAGAGAATTACAGACCAATTTCCCGTATGAACATAGATACAAAAATAATAAAATACTGCAAAGCAAATCCAAGAACATATCAAAAAGAATCATCCACAGTGACCTTTTCTTCTAATGAAATGATTGTTTTTTGCCTTTAATTTTTCTTATATTTCATTACACTTATAGATTTACATGTGTTGAACCATCCCAACCTCTGACAAAGAAGAAAGTACAGTATATATTTGCTCTTATAGCCACAGGAAAGTCCTTTAAACTAAATCTCTTCTCTATAGCAAAAGACATCATTATTTGAATGAAGACGGAACTTACAGAATAGGAAAAAAAGAATTTTGACAGCTGTTACTAACAGTATTAGTGTCTACACTATACAAGGAACTGAAAAAAATAAACATAAAGAAAAAATAATCCAAATCCTAAAATGTGGTGTGGAACAAAAATACAGAGTTTGCAGAAGATAAAATACAGATGTCTGGTAATGGTGTGTGATCAACCAGACTTTGATTCTTGTTTTCAATCACTGAACTTTAGAGTCACTAGGGGGGGCTCTTGTCCTCATCCATTGGGGAGCTAGAAATTGAAAGTACTTTGAGATGTCATCTTACAATGGATGGAATGGCTATGATTCAAAAACAGAAGTGATGAAAAATGCTGGGGAAAGGGGGACTTAACGGCAAACTGCTGCAGTCTTTGCATCAGCACGGAGTTTCCTCAAAGAGCTGAACAAGATCTACCACAAAACCGTGTATATATTTATAACATAGCACATGGCGTTTTTAATATTTGCATTTTATAGTTTCTAAATTCATGGTGTCTGTGGGGGGGTAGTGCCCTACTTCATATGTATTCTTCGTGTGAATACTCCAAATCTATTCGAATTATTTTAAAAAATAGTATATATTTTCTAATAAGTACACTTACTATGTAGCACAACAGATCTCTTGAATGTATTTTTTCTACATGATTGAAATTTTAAATTTTCGCTAGCTCTGAAGGGTGTAATTATTAATGATAACAGTGATTTTGCTAAGAACATTTAGTGACTCCAAGGTCCTACAAATCTATGGAAAATCTGAAACAATAGCATTGTTCAACACCCTAAATGTCAATAGTGCCCTAATGAAAAACAACAATAATTGTTTTCTAATTTTTATTTAAATTGGAAGCAAGTTTGTTTTACATGTCAACCCCAGCTCCTTCTCCCTCCCTTCCTCCCCTGCCCCCCCCCCCACTAGCCCCCTATCCTATATCCTTTCCGCTCCCCAAGGAGGGTGAGGCCACAATGCTTTAAATTGTTTTAGGACACAGAAAGGAGGCACAGAAAGGGTTAACAGGTACCCACACTCACACAGTCAGATATGAGTGTAAATATGTCTCTGTAAAATGAGACTGGTGTTCTCTCCATGAGTACAAAGTCATTATATTGGGTAAGTGCAGTCTATGTTCTTATTTTGGATGGTGGATATGTGTTTATGTGCCCTGATTGTGTTGTGTTTAATTTCTTTCTTTTTCTCCCATTTTTGGTGGTTGCAGCTGAGTTTGGTGACTATTATCCTGATGAGCATCCTGAGAATTATATCAGTGAGTTTGAGATTTTCCCCAAGCAGTCACAGAAGTTGGAAAGAAAAATCATGGAAATTCATAACACTGAACTCAGGTAATTTGTGTGAAAATATAAAGATGAAAAAAACATTCTTACTATATATAGAAAGTGAGAATCATGTGAAGCCGTGCTATTTGAAATGTGAATAGGCAGTTTCAGGTTGCAGAGAAACATTTCTGGGCCCTACAAAGGATGACTTAGCATCTCAATAAGTGCAAGATTTTTCCAAGATAGTGCCTATGAATGACCAAAAGTGAAAAAAGATATGTTTTCTTATGCAAATACATTCCTAGCCCATCTGAGTTTCTGAAAATATATCTGAGGTTAATAAGCCGTCTTTTCCTATTTGAATCTTGCTTTTTTTTTTTTCCTTTCTTGTGGCCCTTGCTAGAAGTGTTGGCTTAAAGTAGAATTGAATTCATTGAAAAGGTTGCAGGCTTTGCTGTCCCCAAAGGGAGACCTTACCTTTCTGAGGAGTGGATGGGGTGGGTTGAGGAGAGGTGATCAGGGCATCAGGAAAAAGGGGAGGGAAGGGGAACTGTGGTTGGTATGGAAAATGAATAAAAATTGGTTTAAAAAACTTCCATTTTCTTAACTGACATCAAGATGATGAGATTTAATGTATGTTATTCCTTTGCTTGTCTCTAATGCTTCAGAATGAGAATTCTAGAGTAAGAACTGTTAGAGAACAGATATGAATAGAATATCACCAAGTTCCAGACACCGGGCTATTGTACACACTGAGCACACCGACTCAATAATCTTCACAACAATGTAGGAAGGAGATACTATGAGTTTTTCCCCCATATGCGTATAAGAACTGGATCCAGAGAGGTTAAACAAGTTGTACATTTCTGGGATTTGAATTCACGCATAAGTAAATGTAGCAAAATGAAGCATGCTTAGGCATTTTGACAACTTGTAATTCAGGTAACTTAGGTATGCTAGTCTGCAGTTAGTTGCAATTTAGATCCTGTACAATTCCCAGAAAAAGAATGTGATAATAACTTGAATAGGCAGTACTATAGTGAATATCCTGACGAACTAGTTTTTCTCTCCTCCTAGTAATCAAGGGTCTCTAGTAATCTGTTTATTAATTCTCACATTGTGGCTACTCAAGGTGGCAGCATATTTCAGGTTAAAAATGATAACCTTTATTTTCAGAATCCTTAGATATCACAACATTGTGTCATTTTCAGAAAATAATAAACCATTTCTATGACTTACCTAAGAGAATTCTCTGTTAAACAAAATGTATTTGAAATATATATAGAATACTCATTATTCTTTCTATATTTTGGAAATAGATGTACTATATAGAATAATGACCCATAGTATTCCAGTTGATGGAACTGTGGTATAGAATTATTCTTCTCAGGAACCAAATGGTGAGAGTTATTAGATGAGTAAGTTGCATTTATTGCATGGATTGGTAGAAGAGGTAGCTCTTCTTTGGCTAGAATTTGCAGGCCTTAAAATTCTTGATGAATATTATAATGACAAAAATTTATTGAGCATTTTCAGGATGCCAAAATATAATGCAAAGAGTTTTCTGAACACTATTCTACCCCATCCTTCCAAATTGTAGGAGATAGTACTATTTGTGTGCCTGTGAGGGACAAGGAAGATAGAGCGTGAAGAGGATAAAGAATGTTTCCTGTTAGTTAACATTAATTTCAGAACATAGTTCATTGTTACCAGACACTAATGCCCACATATCACTCCTGTAGCAAGCAGTCATCCTAGTGTGGCAGTAGCAATGAGGCCTGGCAAAGTGTGAGGAAAGTAAGGCCACAGATACCATTTGTGATTGTCTGAATGGGAATGTCCATCATGGGCTTGTATATTTGAAGATGCAAATCCCAGTTGGTGGCACTCTTTGGGAATGCTTCAGAGGTAGCGCATTTTGGAGAAAGTGTCTAACTGGGGGTGTGCTTTGAGAATATCAAATATTGGTATCATTTTCATTTTTTTCTGCTTCCTGCTTGGTTTTAAGAAATGACCTCTCAGCTTACGGCTCCAATTCCCATGTCTGCTGGCTACCACACTCCTGCAATAGGATGGTGGTGAACTCTTACTCCTCTGGAAACATTAGCCCTAGTAAACCCTTGCTTCTATAAGTTGCCTCGGTCAAAATGGTTTACCATAGTAGTAGAAAGATACACCAACCTCTAATGCTATGCCAAGAAAAAGAAAACTGCAAGAGTTGGAGGAGAAGGAAAAGGTTTCCATGATATAAACAGAATAAAAGAAATCATTTCCAACAAACCAGCCTACAGAGACGACTGGAAACAATACTTCATACTGAAGACAGAAAAAAAAAACATTAGCAAGAGATAATAGAAAGAATGAAACTAATTATGGAAACACAAAATAGGAATAAGAATTCAAATATAAGAAAAAATGATATCAGTCAACATTTATTTTTCAATAATAATTTTAAATACCAGTGGCCACAGCTTTACAAGCAAAAAAAAAAAACAGATTGGTTGTATGGATTAAGGAACAAAATCAAAATACATCTTAAAATGAAAGGATGCGAGATTCAAAGAAAATGAGACGAAAAACCAAGCAGGTGTCAATATCTTTATATATATGTATATATTAATGCTATACTTCTTAAGCATTTCACCTGACAGGTAGAAATCAGAAAAATGTGGACTCTAACTGAGAAGGACTTACAGAGGACAACGCAAAGGGAAAGGGAAAGAAAAGGGATACGTAACACTAAAGATGTTTGAAAAAGTCTTAAGACATAATTTTATGCTTACCTAAAATTATATATTATACAAATATATCTATAGACATATATGATAGGTAGACAGACAGACAGATAGATAGAGTTTAAATGGGGTTATGCCATTGTAATAATATTACTCCCCACAAAACTCATAAACTATTTAACAAAAGCCATTATAACAGTCATGAGAAACTTCTATCCAGTTATTGATCAGGAGAGCCCAAGAGACCTCTAAGACAATAGAAACCATTTTACTTGCCTTTGATTGCCTCCCAGACTTTGAAGAAACCATACACTTGGAACACAGGACTTGGCATAGCAAGATGCAAAGCGACCTGCCAGTCTCCTTCTTGAAGACTAGCTTTTCTAGAGCTAAAAAAAAAGTGTTATGCAAAGGGCTGTCAATGGAGAAAATAAACTAACAGTCCTACCCAGCTGCAGTGCCTATGGACCACAACAACAGGGTGCAATAGTCACAGCTACCAGCTGTCTAATTGGACCTGAGTACAGTCTAATGGGAGGGAATTCATGCCTGGTAACATGAACCGTACCCATGGCTGCTGAGACAACCGAAGCTAAAGAAGAACTTACACCGCCATTTTCCTAACTCCGTACAATTTTCAACAGCATGGAAAATACGTATAACCACAGATGAGGGTAGCTCTCGTCCCTCATCATATTTGCCGCGCCATGTCCAATGTGGGGCATGCAGATAGAGGATTTCAATATATACCATCTTTCCCTTGGTCAAAGATTAGAAGTGAGAGGCTGGAGGTTTTCCTTCCTAGTTCGGATACTTAAAGATAGGCCTTATGGTTCTCCTCTCACTCTAAATAAGTAAGTGAAGTAAACATCGAAATCATATTTTGTATTTCTTCTTAGAACTAAGGACAGACAAATGAATTAAAATCTGGCATGTCACATGAAGCAGAAACTCATATCTGCTGTTGCTATTGCTACTGTTGTTATTTTCAAACTCCTCAAAGAGGAGCAAACAGCCAAATCTCTCATCTGTTGGACAACTAAATGACTCTCCTCTGAGATACCACAAATACCCGCCAGGGCAGGGTACTTCTTGCCCATGGTAAGTCTGGGACAATTGGGAAGAATACGTTTTACAGAGCTCAGAAGACCAGTGATGAGCCTGCAGGACACATGAGTTTCCCTACTGACCTGAGATTCTACAGACAAGCTGTAAATCATATACTCTCTGGAGCATCCTAAATTAAGATCCTGCATTTACCAAAAGTCAAATATTAACAAAAAGCCCAAAGATTTGAAGCCAGAAGTGAGGAAAATTTTAAATTGCCCAAATGTAGGATAACTAAAATCCCAACCAAGCAGCAATGCCTGCTCAGAATGAGAATGTATTATTGGTCTTCTCCCCCTGAATTTAATTCTGGAGTTTGTGTATGCAAATGGGTCAGGCAGAATCAAACCCATGCCTTTCTCTGTGTGTGCTTTATAACCAGTTCAGATGTTACTAGCAATAGTTGGTATCTCATTACAAATTAATGGCGACTAATAGCCATTTATTCTTGGGAGCCGTATGTTTTATATTGTCTGTGAAGGCATACTTAAAGAAGACCAATATGAGAGAGACTGTTCCTTGTTAGCTAAAGTAGTCAAGACATGCAATATAGGACAGGAAGATAAAGCTAAATACATAATTATCCAGCCTCAGCAAATTTAGTAAACTCTTCAGAGAATTATATCTTAGAATTGATGTCTGTTAAAAAAGAAATGCAACTCATCCCTGGTTCTTTTTTTATTTTTTCAATGTCTCATAAGGGAAGCTTCATCTTGCAGAAGATTCTTATTTTCTGTTACCATATTCAAGGATTTTCCAGAAACAAATATCCAGTGCAAGAGTAAAGGAACAGAATTTAATTACTTACTGTGAAAACAAATTATCAAATGACTTGTTCCTCAATAATTTGGGGATCTCAGGAGCTCTGTTTATTGAATTCCTGCCTTAGATGTTATGGCTCTGTCCTGTTGTCTTCTCTGACATCTGCACTGATGTTGCTGGGTCCTAATAGCTCCTGGGGAGAAGACATGAAGTCAGTAATACAGACTTCAGGACTCAAGTGAAAGGAAAACAGCAGACTCTTTTATTAAGCAATAGATACAAACTTATATACTATCCCAGCACCCAGGAGCTCTGATCCATTGTCATTGCATAGTCGACACTCATTGGCTGGGCAGGATCAGGACCACTGACAGCGACTGTCAAACTCCAGGTTGCCTCTCTAGGTCTGGTAGGCCTTAACGTCCTACATACTGAGCCTTTCTTTGTGTATAAATTTGTCAACTAATTTATTCAGATGCTTAGCTAGCAGAAATTTGCAGACAAACACAAGCAAGCAATACTGACATGAGGATTTATAGTTTAAACATGAACTTGTGCTTTGTAGCTAAATATCCTAACTGCCACTTCCCCTCGGTATGTTTTCTGGTTTCAGTCATGTTCAGGAATAATAGTGGAACAAATGCTAAATCGAAATGGAAAAAACTAAGCCTAAACTGCATGTGAAACTACAATTGAGCAACATGAACAAAGCTGAGGACATTCTTGACTGAAGAATAGACAATCAAAATGTAGTACCCAAAACATCATGATACTCACTGGAATAAAGCAGACACAAAAACAATGAACCAAAACAGGAAGTCCCAAAATAATCTGATGCACTTACAGTCAATGATACGCAGCAAAGAGCCAGAAACACATGGTAGTAAAAAAAAAAATATCTCTTAGCCAGGCAGTGGTGGAGCATGCCTTTAATTCCAGCATTCGAGAGGCAGAGTGAGTTCTAGGACATCCAAGACTGTTTCACAGAGAAACTCTGTCTCAAAAAACAAAACCAAAACAAAAAACCACTGTCTTATCAACCTTTGATGGGAAAAGTAATTATCACCATGCAAAAGAATAAAACTAGATGGGGTGGAGAGATGGCTCAGTGGTTAAGAACACTGGCTACTCTTCCAGAGGTCCTGGGTTCAATTCCCAGCAAAGACCTAGTGGTTCACAACCATCTGTAATGAGATCTGGTGCTCTCTTCTGGCCTGCATGCATACAGACAGACAGAACACTATATACATAATAAATACATATTTTAAAAAAAGAATAAGACTAGATCCACAAATTTCATCATTGTCCTAGTTAGGGTTGCTTTTGCTGTGATGAAACACCATGACCAAGAGTAAGTTGGGGAGGAAAGGGTTATTTGACTTATGCTTCATTATCAAGTGATATCAGGCAGGAACTCAAACAGAGCAGAATAAACAGGTGTTGATGCAGAACCATCATTCCAGCTCTTGTATTGCTCTATTTATAATACCCATCTCTCACAGAGGTATTAACTGGGAAATCCTGTCATCCTTTTGAGAGTAACATCCCTACTGACTTTTGCACATGGCCACATCTCTGAAAGAGCCCATCTCTCAACTTACCATTCTAAGAAACAAGAATAGAGCAAATGGAAATGTGAAGAGTGAACAGAACTGTAGCCTCTGTTACATGGACTAGAAAAAGAGAGATTGACCTTAGAGACAAGTTAAATTTTACAAAAGAATAATGTACAGTTTTTAAAACGTAGTGATAGGAGCTAGAGACATTGCCGCTCTCCGAGAGGACCCATGTTGAATGTTCAGCACCCAGGTGGCACCCAGGTGGCAGCTCCCAACTATCAGTAACTCCAGTCCCACAGTATCTAACACACCCTGCTGGCCTCCCTGAGCACCAGACATGCATGTGGTACACAGACATACGTGCAAGCAAGACAGCCACACATATAAAATAAATCATTTTTAAATGAAAAGTAAAACAAAAATGTGCCGACCATGTCACCATCATGAAAGTAGCCATCTATACAGCAGGAGAGTTCTAACTAGTCTGTGGCAGAGTAAGAGCCTTTCAACTAAGACAAAAGTATGCGTCCATGCAGAGGCACTCTCCTGAAATTTTAGGAGGCAAAGGGGACATATTGGCTTTTGTCTCAGTGCCCCATGAATTCTGTCCACGTGACTAAGGCTGAAGTTTTTCTTTGAAGGATGTCAAAATAGACTACTGTTTAAAAACTTTCAGGAGAGCACAGCTTCATTGACTTTATCCTAAAGCAAGTAGGAGTGTGTGTGTTACATAGAAACAGAGAGATCAAAACAAGAGTGGTTGAACAAAAGAGCCAACACAGTACTGACTATGATGAGGATGCTCTACAGACAGACTGAAGCAGAACTTCAGTCAGTAAGAGGAAAGGAAGAACCTGGAATGCTTCAGTGAGAAAGCATGTGGACGCCATTTTAATTTAAACTAACGATGAGTCCTTTAGCGTACTGAAGAAATTGAGTGACAATCCTCTATGTAGAACCTTAGGTGCAATCAGATTGAACAGCATAACATAATTTTATAATTACAATATAAAAATGGCATTCTGTTTTCCATAGAATACACTTCTTGATTAGGAATGGTTTGGATTCTCTGTGGCACATGTGAGATACTCATGTTAGTCAAAGCTGGATCTTTGAAATATTCCATATTCTCAGTGGACAAGTCAGTCCTTCTGGAGAGTGTATTTGCTAGGCCCCTTTTCCCTGCAGCTTGTTTATGAACATAGGGGATAGCTCTAGAACTAATATTTGAGATTTCCTCTGGTGATCCAGGGCTTTTTGTAGAATTACATATAAATTTTCTGTGCCCAGAAGGTTCTCTTTAGGATTGTTGTTGGAAGTTAGATAAGATTGCCCTCTTTCTTATCTGAATAAGAAATACCATTCATCCTGGAAAATCTTTTAAAATACATAGTAAAGGAGAGATACTGAGTTTTCTTCTTTTATTAGGTTTAATTGGTGGGGACATCCTTTCTGGTGACTTGATACTATTGATTAATTATATACTTACCAGAGTGCTATTAATAAACAGCAGTGTATTTCTGTGTAATTAGCTGCAAAATGTGACATTCATAAAGGCCTCTGCCTGGTGAAAAATACTGATAGATGTACCTATTCCTATTGACTAAGGATCTTTATATTAAACAGAAAATAATATTTGACTGACTAAAGGGACTACTTGTTTTTATTCATTATATTTCATTTGAATTATCTAAATTTGTGTGTGTGTGTCTCATTTTAGAGGTCAGAGTCCAGCGATTGCTGAATTCAACTTACTCCTCAAAGCTCATACATTGGAAACTTATGGGGTGGATCCTCACCCATGCAAGGTAACTGCCTTGAGCAGATCACCATATAATCATCATTTTGTCCAACATAAAGTTATTGGCATGGAGCCATGGAAGAATACCCTTAGATTTATACAACCTTACCATAACAATCATTTGGAAGACATAAGAAGTAGGCTATGGTCAAATGTTTTGGATGTGACTGGGGTCTGTGCCAGAGACCTGGAAATACTCACTAATTGTACTGGAGTGCCCTGACCCACGGGACATTCAACGTGGGCGCTGGAGGACATCTAGGAAAAAGATTGGGGACAGGAGATATGAAGAAGGATGCCAAGACAGGATTCTGATCAAGGCGACAGCTTTATTTCATCCCAAAGGGATTTATATAGGGGAAGGGAGGAGGGGAAGGAATGGGGGGTGTGCTGTAGCTGCGATGAACCTGGTGGAGAGAAGGTCAGTGGGATGGGTAGGTCATCCTGTGTCCTCTGGTAACCTAACTGCAGACTCTAACTTTATCTTTCACATTCCACCTTCTGTTGTTCAAGTCTATGCTCTAGTGACTAGGCAGATAAGCCGCAGGTCTGTTTCCTCAGAACTTGCTTCCTATCTTGAGAGGTGGTATTTCAGCAATGTGACCTGGAGACACGTCTTCTCTATGAGGAGGGTGTGATAATGCTATGACTGAATTATGGCGAAGGCCCCGGACACTAGAGTAGCCAAATTTTCCCAAATTAATATGTATACACTTATACATCTGATGGATGACTTACCTCAGGAAGTGAGAGTATTCGAACAGGTTTACTTTCAAGGTCTTTACAAACAAAAATGTAGTCTTGGGGCCACGCTTTACAGACTTTCTTTCAAGGCCATCTCTGTTCCTCTTTGATGCCCGTGTACCCACAAAATCATTCTGTACCACAGGTCCCAGTGGCTAGGCTAGGGTAGGACTCAGGTAGGCAAATTTTATTGTAATTCCTGTCTTCCCTTCCTGACTCCCCTGACTTACTCTTAGACTGCAGCAACCTGTACACAGGAGCCCCTTCTTCCTGCCCAACTTCATTCCCTGGGAACTTTGCCTCTTGGTGCAGACCTAAGATTCTCCTAGTTCATTCCTGCTGCCTTTAAGCCTTAGGCAGGGGGATGTTTGTAGATGTATCCATTGGGATTGGGATATAAAACTCTGCGTTTTGATTGGTTGTGGTTTTCTGTAATGGTTTCCATCTCTTTCAAACAGAAGTTTACTTGATGGTAAGTGAAGCAGACACTTATCCATGGTTATAGAGACAGTTTTTTATAAATTGTTGTTAGGGGTTATGCTGGTTTGGTAAATTAGTGGTTGTAAATTCTCCTCCAATATAACCATGACTTCACTAGCATTCAGTAGTTACCTAGGTTTACAGTGTGGTCTCCCTCTTGTTGTAAAGGCTTTTTTGTCCAACTAGAGAGCCAAAGTATGTCTGACACTACTGTGCCCTTAGGGTTATCATGCCTTGCTGGCTATTGATGTAGTTCATAGGCATTACAGCTAGGTAAGACTGTCGGCTGTCTAACTCCTTTGGGAGATTGCATGGATTCTTCTGGTACCATGAGTCCCCATAGAGAGGGCTTTCTGATCAATTCCAGCTCAGAGGTATCTGGGCCCTGTTTCTGAAGTGCATGGTATCTTCAGCAATAGGATCCTACCTTCAACCTCTGTGAGGTTACTAAGGACAAAGCAATAGGCTGTATGGGAGTCTCTTGGACATCCCTGGCCAGCAAGTTAGTATAACTAATATTATCACCACAAAAAGTAAAATTATATTAACTTTTCAATGTAGTCTTTAAAATGGAGAAAGATGAAGAGAAAAAGAAAAGAAACTTTTTAAGTACATTTAGAGAAAATATTTTTTGATCTTTTTCTTTTTCTCGTTATTTGGAACATTTTCCACAAACATGAAACAAACACTTTTATCAGAATTGCCTATGCTGTATCTCAGAGTTATAGATTATTTCTCTATGCATCTGTCGCTTTCTGTATCTCTCTTTATCTCATATGGGTCATACATGTGTGTGAGTTAGTGTACACATGTGTGTTCTTACATGTGGAAGCATAAGGACCTTGGGTGTCTTTCATTAATCTCTCTACAGCATGATTTTATTAAAAAGAGTCTCTCACTGAACTGGAAGCTTATTAACTGGGGCTAGGCTGGTGTTTTAAAATAACCCCTGCTCACTCCATAACCGAAGTTAGGGTTGCAAGCACACACTGTTAAACCCAGATATTTTTAACTCAGATCTTTAAAATTGAATGCTTGACACTTTGTTAATTTAGCTGTCTCCCATGATGGGCAATTTTTCTCGTTTCCATTTCCTGGGGTGGTTTGTGCTGATATTCTTGAGAAATGATTGACGCAATCGTCAATGTTTTCTTCTCTGCATTTTGACTATGTATCAATCAGATAATAGAACTAATTTTAGACTAAGAGTTTGTGTCAGCCAGAATATTAAAAATAAGTTTTGGAGTTATTTTCTAGCATTTATGTTCACCCAGACCAAGCCAGCTTATTAGCTAAGTGCTGGATCTATTGTACTCAGCTCAGTCTGCTCGTTGTCCACACTTGGGAAATATCATAAAGATCTGCTTGCCCAGAGCTTACCCAACCCCTTTTATGTAAAGCTCTGTGAGCATGGAGGTCAGGCTGCCAGTTGGCAGGGTTGTGCTCAGATGGTTCTATCTCTCTGTATTGACACATGCTTCTTCTTTTTCTGCCTATACAATTTTTTTTTTTGGTTTTACGAGACAGGGTTTCTCTGTATTGTTTTGGAGGCTGTCAGTCCAGCCTGGCCTTGAACTCACAGAGATCTGCCTACCTCTGCCTCCCGAGTGCTGGGATTAAAGGTGTACGCCACCAACGCCCGGCTATACAATTATTTTATGATAGTTTCCAGATGCCTCTAGTGGTGATGTAAATATGTGTATTTCATTCAGTGGCTTAGATGCTTTGCAGGAATGTATTCCCCTCTGTTTATTTTCTTGTTTGGAAACTGATTGGATTTTTCTGTTATTTTTTGGCCTTCAGTAATCCAGGAGTTGCTTAGAGTTTCAGAATTGGCTGGGAGTTAAGTGGACTTTTCCTTGTGATTTTTATACTGATAATGCTAGAAATTCTGCATGTGGTTTAATCAGGTTAGCATAAATGGTCAAAGTTTTGGTTTCATTGCATTAGAGAGCTCATGGCAACCAAGAATAGTTTGCTGGCATTACAAAGATCCAGAGCACAAGCAATTCAAAACACAGGAAACTAGAGTATTTGGAAGAAATCTGTGTTTTGTTTTATATAGTTTCTGTTAGGGCAACATGTCTATTTCTGGGAGAAAAACAATACACAACACTAGATTTTTCCCAGAGTTTGGAAGTCATGTTCTTAAGAATTCCGTCTTAAATACTTAGTTTATGGCTATAGTTGCTGACACTGGTTTAAATTAACCCAAGATAAGGAAAATTAGCATGTCGTTTATCATTTATATTTCTCAATCCAAGTAGTTCTTTATTTTCATTTCTTCAGGATTCAAAAGGTGCTACAGCATTTTTAGGATTCACTGCTGCAGGCTTTGTGGTATTCCAGGGAAATAAGAGAACCCATGTGAGAAAATGGTAAGTGCATTCTGGGGAAAAATGACTTACTTTTTTCTTGATCTCCTCCCGTTTTCTTTAGCAGTATTTTTTCCAGCACTGTCAGGTAGCGTCCTGCTTTGCTTCAACTGTCAACGTGACACAACTTAAAGTGTTCTTGTTAGCGTTTGTCAACTTGGCACAAATCCTGGATATACCTGAGAAGAGTGACTCTCCACGGAAGAACTTCATCAGTTAAAACGTCATTAATGGCATTTTCTTGATGGTTTTTTGATATAATAAGGCCTACCCCGCTGTGGTTTATAGCATCCCTGGGCAGGCAGACCTTTGCTGTATAAGAAAGGGAGCAGACCAAGCCATTGGACCAAGCAGGGCCTCTGCTTCAGTTCTTGCCTCAAGATAAGGAACCTTTATTTTTAAAAATTGGTGCCAGGAGTAGTGCCTTTCTCGAACACATCTGAACTTGTTTTCTTTGGAGAAGATTGTTACAGGATTTTGGAGCTCTGGAACATAACAGAGATTGACTGCTTAGAACATAATGAGCTAGTCTGTAGGAAATTGGAATATAATGCTGAAAGCGATGTGAACAATGGAGGCCTGGCTTGTGAAGTTTCAAAAGGAAAAAATTCTATCAGGCTTGTTTGTAAGATGCTTTGCATTAAGACGCTGTGGAAAGGAAACCTTCTTTGCTTAGGGGAACAATTAATAATGGTTAGCTGGGACTGAAAAATCACCTGTTATTAATAAGACCATCATCACTGAGGTGAAATCTTCTAGGAAGTATTTCTTCAGGATCAGCCTACAGAAGCTGTGGTCCAAAGAGGACCAAAGTTGTATCTCAACCTGAAAGCCAAGCATGTTAATGTCTAAGAGTCTCCCACGTCATGCTGCTTTTGAATGCATAAAGGTGACATGAGGAATAGCTGAGACTCGGCATTATGTGTCAGGTTTGGAGTCCAGGAAGTAGGTTTAGGAGCAGTCACATGTCATGGTGCAGTCTCGGTTGCAATAGAAACCACAGGACTGACAGGGTCATGGAAAAAGGCTGAGGATTGGCAGCCCGTGTCAAGGTCAGGCTTCCTTTAGTGAAGCCGGGTACCTATCAATGGAGGTACAGTCCCGGGTCTGGATACCATGACCATAAGATGACCCCGGGGCAGTGACAGGTGTAGAGTGGAGCATGCTGAGCCTCTGTGCAGACTATTGTTGTAGAGCTAAAGTGATGGTGCTACCCAAGCCTTTGGAGCCCAAAACGTCATGAGCGAGTCCCAGATATTGGACCCAGAACTATTTTCACAATGTCACAGTTTGGTTTCAAGTTGATATGATTGTTGCTTGTCCCAGTGCTTTTTTTTTTCCTTTATTAGAAATAGAAATGGTGACATATTTTGGGTTTTACAGGAGCTACCAAAAAAGTTACTGGAATTTCAAAGAGAACTTTGGCCTTTGAATTTTTGTAATTTTTATAAGACCATGAGGCTTTATTTTATTAAAAGTAGGACTGTGTTTTATATTGTGATATGAGCATAAGATCTTGGCGACAAAATACAGAAAAGTTGTGATTTAACAGTAAATATGCTTGTTGTCGAGTTAGCAAGGAGTAGATGATGCTAGCTAGTTTTTGTCAACTTGACCCAAAATTCTAGGCATTCATGGGAAGAGGGGATCTCTAATGAGCAATTGTTTCTATCAAATTGGCCTATGGGCATGTCAGCTGGGTGCATTTCCTTAAGTACTACTTAATGTAGAAGGGTCCAGCTTATTCTTAGTGGTGCCACCTCTGATTGATAGGCCTGGACTGTGTAAGAAATGTAACTGAGCAAGCCAGTAAGTAACATTCCTCTGTGGTGGCTGCCTCAGTTTGTACCTGCCACACTGGCTTCCCTTAGCTATTACTTGGAAGTGTAAAATGACATGAATCATTCTGTTCCCACAGAAGTTGGTTTGGGGTGGAGCGGGGAGTGTCGGAGTGTTTATCACAGACAGAAAAGGAAGGAAGCTAGAATTTCTGGAAAAGAATCTAAATCCTAGATCAGATTGGCCTGCGGGCATTTCTACAGAAGATTGTCTTATTAATTGTTATAGGAGGGGCCAGCCAATTGGACAGCACCATGCCCTAGACAGGTAGTCACAAACTATAAGAAAGCTATGCTTCCTGCAATACTGATTGGCTGTGGAGTAGATTCCTTGGTTAGAGCTTGCTTATGGAATAGAGTGCTGGGCTGCCTTCAAGTTCCTACCATGAGTTCCTGCCTTAAGGTCTCTTCATGATGGGTGATGTCCTGTTGTTGTAACCTGCAATAACTTTTCTTCCAAAAAGTTCCTTTTGGTCAGTGTATTTTTCACATCAATAGAAATAAAAGTAAAACTGGTAGTAACCATTTACTGTGTAGCTTCGTAATAGATTGATTTATAATCCATGAAGGTAAGCAGAATTCTAACAGGGTTTCAAAGAAAATCCACAACCTGTAGTTCTTAAACTACTCGAAACATAGAAGCATAGAGTACTTCCAGACCCCTCCTGTGAATCCAATATTACTCTAATACCAAAACCAGGTATACACACATGCTCACTCATGTGTGGGGGGAGGTGCCAATATCCCTGATAAACATACATTCTAAAATCATTGCAAACTGAATACAGGCATGTATCAAAAGGAGCACATCCCACAATCAAGTTGGCCTTATCCCAGCTAAACAAATTCAGCATATGTAAGAAATAAATGTAATAAAACATATAAATGGACAAAATAATACAAAAATCACAGGATCATCTCTATGCATTCAGAAAAAGAAAAAGCCTTTGACAAGATCCAACTTGGCTTCATAATAAAAGTCCTAGAACAAGTAGGAATGTAGGGAGCATATTTGAGCACAATAAGGGTTATTATGACAAACTCACAGTCAACATCATCCTAAGTAAAGAAAATCCTGAAGCAGTCCCATTAAAATCGGGAATGGGAGAAGACAGCCCACTATTCCCAATACTTATCAATAATATGCTTGAAGCAGTAGCTGGAGTAAGAGAAGGAAATTAGAGGATACAAATAGTCAAATTATTCCCAACTGAAGATTGTATGACTTTATACCCAAGAGATCCCAGAATTCTCCCAGAAATTTTGTAGGAACTATCAATAATTTCAGCAAAATGTTAGGATACATAATTGACTTACAAAATTCACTAGTCTTTGTATACACAAGTAACAAGCATGCTGAGAAAGAGATCATGGACACACTCCTATTCCCAATTTCTCAACTAAAAGCATTTAGTATAAACGAAAAAAAAAAAAAAGGAGGTGAAAAACCTGTACAGTGAAAACTTTGTATCTGTGAAGAAAGAGAATGAGGAAGATACAAGAATTTGAAAAGACCTCCCATGTTTATGCTTGGTAGAATTAATATTGTGAAAAGACCTTCCTGCCAAAAAAATTTATTGATTCAGTGCAATCCCAATCAACATCCTCATTACATTCGTCACATAAACAGAAAAAAAAATCCACAATTCATATGGAACAAAAAAGACCCAGAATAGCCAATTAATCCTATATCAATGCCGGTTCCTAAACATCCTGTTATAATTAAGTGCTGGATTCATCTGTCTAAGACCCCTGACTTTTTTAAGTCTTTTTTATTTAAATTAGAGACAAGCATGTTTAACATGTTAATCCCAGCTCCCTCTCCCTCCCCTCCTCCCCTGTCCCCCACCAGCCCACCCAGCCCCCACCCAACCCCGACTCCATTCCCCAGGGAGGGTGAGGCCCTCCATGAGAGTGTCCATAGTCAGTCATTTCGTTCAGGACAGGGCCTAGGCCTCCCCCATGTATCCAGGTTGAGAGAGTATCCCTCATTGTGGGATGAGCACCTAAAGTCCATTTGTACGCCAGGGATAAATACTGATCTACTACCCAAAGCCCCATAGATTGCCAAGGCCTCCTCACTGACACCCACATTCAGGGGGTCTAGATCAGTCCCATGCTGGCCTCTCAGCCATCAGTCTGGGGTCCAAGAGCTCCCACTTGTTCAGGTCAGCTGTTTCTGTGATCCTTGACTTCTGTATAACATCTTTTCCTACTATATCATTGATTTTTAATCAGTCATTCTTTCTATCCTCGTTTGTACCCACTTGTCCTCTTCTTTCACAATTTAGTGTCTCAGAACCCATCTTTAAATTCCTTGTCTCAGTGTTTTCATCCATGAGATGGGTGTTTTATATATATATATATATATATATATATATATATATATATATATATCTGTCTTAGAAAGGGTAAAGGATTTGGGGGAGAAAGAAATGCAATGTTTGTACGAGCACTTTGGGAATCTAGTGTAATGTGGTATCTATAAATTGTTATATGATGTTGCTATCTGGTTTTCTTCTCTAGATTTTCAGCATCTGACAAAGAAGCTCCAATGTGTTTACATCAGTCAATCCCAGGGTAGATACCATAGATATTCCAATTTAGTTTGGGAAGCATGGGTAACTTGAAGACTGCCCTCATTCTATCCCAGGACTGCAAAAGTCTTGGAGGATGTTATACACAGGTTTTCAAAATTACTTGAGACCTGGAATGGTTTGATTAGACACTGCTACACTAAATGCAGGTTGATTTCCTGTCTTTTCCACTTGACGTTTTGTGGAGGGGTCATTGAAAAGATGGAGGCGAATAGTCTCTGGAGTATTTGTTTCTGTTTTCATTTCTTCAGGTTGCCTATGTTACTGGTACTGTGTTCATGTGGATCCCATTCTTTATGGCTTCTTCTTAAACATACTTATTTGTTATAACCATGCATCTCTTGCTAAATCAAATTTTCTTCTCATGTAAATCATAATTGTATTTTTTTTAATCCAGCTTTGTTACCATTTCAAAAATTCTATACCTACACTAAAACAGGTGAATGAAGCCCTGTTTCCTTTCTCATGGGAAAAATGCACATGCAATATAACTATCCAAGAAATTAGATAAAAGAGATTTTTAAAGTCCACCCTTCATTTCATTCATCAAGAAAATGACCGTGGATTTACATTCAAACCAGGTTACAACAAATAGCCTTTTGAGATAAAATCAAGGTTGTCTTTTGAGCATTTTTTTTGAGAATGTCAATGTGTACAGGAGTGATTCTTTTGAAAATTTGCAATGTGGTACATGTTCTTCCTAGAGATGGATGGAAAAGAATGGAAAACATTTGAAACTTTACATCCATATTATTCTATTAACATTCTTTCCACTTCGCAAAGTGAGCTCACCAACTGATGTTTCAGTTGCTAATGTTTATAAACATTTCCGAGTCTATTAAACGAATCCTAACTGAAAAAAAAGAAGAAGAAATAATTCTGAGCTTGCAGTGCATTAACTCTTTGGAAGAAAATTGCTACATAATTTACTTAGAGATCTCCATCCTCAATATCCCATCACTGATAATAAAATATTTTGATTCATTGTAGTTCCCTTGGCTTTTGTGAGTCAGATAGATTTATATGGCAAAACTAGGTGCCTTGTTTAACTGTAGTTTGGGGGGGTTGTTTGTTTGTTTGTTTGTTTGTTTGTTTGCTTTTCCTTCTCATACAGAGACTTTACTTTTTAGGCCAGATGTCTGCAAATTGAAGTTTGAAGGGAAGACATTTTATGTGATTGGCACCCAGAAGGAGGTCAGATACTGATTTTATAATTACTTGATATGTGTATGTGTGCAAATGTATGTGCATAAGAAAGACCTAAGAATAAAATAGTTTTCAGTACGGTTGCCCCACTTTGAAGAGTGGTGATGATGGAAGCTGTTTATTGCAAGCAGTTTAATGCTAGACAAGGCAATGGTAATCCGCAGGTAAGAATAAAGTCAATGAGCAATGCGCACTGTATGAACCTATGTCAAAGACAGGTTGGGATAAACTTTATTCATTAAATACAATGCCTGGACTCTCACCAAAAGTCTTTGTCTAAGATGCAAATAAATGAAGCAGAAGAGAAATTCTTATAAACTAGACATCAATCAACACTAGATAAAATGTTATGACCACAGTGTTTATGCCCAAGTAGTTTTTCCCCGAGAGTTTTTAACAGTCATTAAATATAGTTTGTGGGCTCACCGGGGAATGGAAGGCTGTTATGAAAATATTGAACATTAAAGTTAAGTTTGAAGTTTGCTAATTTTCTAGACTTTTGTTATGAACTTATTGTTATTGTTCTTCCAGGGTGATAAGTAATTTTTAGATTAATCAAGGATTGATAGACAGGTCGGTGATGACTGGAGTATTAGTGAAGATTATGTATCAGCTTTACATAGAATTTAAATAGATTATTGATGTCTGATGAACGATGAAAAAGATATACTGTTTAAATTTCAATGAATATAGTAATATTGGAGGGGTTGCTGGAGAGAAAGCTCAATGTATTTACTGTGCGACCACGATGATTTTAGTTTGATACCCAAAACCCACATAAAACCCTTGCCCCCATCCTTATGTGAAGGAGAGATATTCCTAGAGCTTGCTGGCTTGCCACTCGAGTTGAAGTAGTGCACTTCAGGTTCAGTAAGAGACTGTTTCAAAAGTGGGTTTGAGAGTGGTTAAGGAATACACCCAACACTAACCTCTTGCCTTCATACAGGAATGCATATAGACCCACATGCCTAACCTACCTCCATGTACATATAAAAAAATCGTATAGTAAGCTACAAGTACATAAATACCTTAATGAAAAACATGGATAATATAAATTGTGCTTAACATACCTTTTCTTATTATTTTTAATAGAAAAATTCTGTCTTGGAATTCCATACTTCGACACCAGCTGCCTGCAAGCATCTATGGAAATGTGGGGTAGAAAACCAAGCCTTTTATAAGTAAGACTCTTGTGTTCATTTGATTATAGGTTCTTAAAGCGTTTGTGGATCCATTTATGCCCTGCCAATAACTGCATACCCATTTTGTTTAATACTGCTCTTCGTATTTATTCTATTTAAATGTAATATAAATTTAGGACATAATTATTTATCATATACACATCTGATAAAGGATTAGTGTCTAGAATGTTCAAAGAACTAAAACATAAACAGAAAACGAACAACCCAATTAAAACTGTACTATGGAACCAAACAGAGAGTTGTCAAAGAAGAAATTCAAAGGCTAAGAAGTATTTTTCTCCTTTTTAAAAAATGTATTCTTCTCTCATACAATACATCCCAACCGCAGCCTCCCCTCCCTCCTCTCCTCCCAGCTCCCACTTCCCCCCACCCCAACCCCAGTCTTTCCTCTCCACCAGATTCACTGCTCCGCCCTTTCCTTTGAGAAAAGAGCATGCTACCCAGGGATATCGGACATGATATAACGAAATGCAATAAAACTAAGCACAAACTCTCATTCCAAGGTTGGATGGGGCAATCCCGTAGGAGAAAACAGTCCTGAGAGGAGGCAAAAGAGTCAGAAACACCCAGACTCTCACTGTTAGGAGTCCCACAAAAACCCCAAGCAAAAAAATTACAACATATATGCAGAGGACCTAATGCAGACCCAAGCAGGCTCTGTGAGCCCCTATGAACCCTGCTTAGTTAATCTGTGAGTCATGTTCTCCAAGTGTCCTCCACCCTCTGGCTCCCAAAATCTTTCCTCCCCTTCTTCTGTGGGGTTCCCGAGCTCTGCTGAATGTTTGAGTGTGGGTCTCTGTATCTGTTTCCATCAGCTGCTGGAGGAAGCCTTTCTGATGATCATTGGGCTAGGCACCGATCTATGAGTATAGCAGATTATCACCAGCAATCATTTCATTGTCTCCCCCCTCCCCAGGAGTGTTTGGTTCTACCCTCAGTTCTCTGCACCAGCAAGCAACCCCTTACTGGCCAGCCAGGCAGCGGGGGTCATGGGCTCCCCCTGGTGGCATTGGTTGGTTACTTCCACAAGCTTGAGCCACCATTGCGCCAGCACATCAAGCTGTTCTTGAAGGTTTTGTGTCTGGATTGGTGTTCCAGTCCCACCCATGGAAGTCCTGCCTGGATATGGAAAATGACTGCTTTGGCTAAGACATATTTTTTATCATTTTTTATTTTAATTTTAAATAGCTTGTTTTACATATCAATCCCAGTTCCCTCTCCCTCCCCTCCTCCCACACTCCCCTTCCCCCCCCCTCCCACCCTATTGCCAAATCCTTCCACATAGGGGATATCTAGAGTCTGTCATTTCACTCTGGGTAGGGTCCAGGCACTCCCCCTAAGAGTCCAGGCTGAGAGAGCATCCCTCTTTGTGCTATAGGGACACGATGACTGTTTGTATTCCAGGGATAGACACTGATCCACAGCTCAGGGCCCCATAGGTTGCCCAGGCCTTCTCGCTGACACTCACATTTGGGGGGGTCCAGATCAGTCCCATGCTGGCCTCCCTACTGTCGGTCTGGGGTCTAAGAGCTCTCCCTTGTTCAGATCAGCTGTCTCTGCTGGTTTTGCCAGCCCATTCTTTGCCAATTTGCTCATCACTCATCTCTCTCTGTCACTGGGTTCCTTGGGTTCAGTTCAGTGATTAATTGTGTGTTTGCCTCTGCTTCCATCAGTCACAGGATGAAGGCTCCTGGATGGTTATAGACATCAAGTTCATTATCAGGAATGGGCATTCGAGGTGGTCTCTCCACTATTGCTTAGCTTGCCAATTGGTGTCATCCCTTTAGATCACTCGAGGTCACTCTGATAGGATAGAAGACAGATCAGGCTAAGACATATTTTTAAAAGGGCTCAACATCCTTAACCTTCAGGGAAAGGAAAAATCAAAACTACTTTGACTTTTTATCTCATCCCATTCAGAATGATTAACATCACAAAAACAAAGACAACCAATTCTAGGGAGGACATAAAGAAAGGGAAATATGCATATTCATTCTTGTTTTTAATTTCTCTTATTTTCTATTTTATGTAAATTAGAAACAAGCTTGTTTTACATGTCAATCCCAGTTCCCTCTCCCTCCCCTCCTCCCCTGCTTCCCTTAAGCCCCCCATCCCATCCCCTGTCTGCTCCCCAGGGAAAGTGAGGCCTTCCATGGGGATCTTCAAAGTCTGTCATATCATTTAGGTCAGAGCTCAGACCCTCCCCGCCGGGTGTCTAGGCTGAGAGAGTAACACTCTATGTGGAATGGGCTCCCAAAGTTCATTTGTATGCCAGGGATAAATACTGATCTACTACCAGAGGCTCAATAGATTACTGAGGCCTCCTCACTGGCACCCATGTTCAGGGGATCTGGATCACTTCTATGCTGATTTTCCAGGTATCAGTCTGGGGTCCATGAGCTCCCCCTTCCTTATTCAGGTCAGCTGTTTCTGTGGGTTTCTCCAGCCTTGTCTTGACCCCTTTGCTCATCACTCCTCCCTTTCTGAAACTGGATTCCAGGAGTTCAGTTCAGTGTTTAGCTGTGGGTGTCTGCTTCTGCTTCCATCAGCTATTGGATGAAGGCTCTAGGATGGCATATAAGGTAGTCATCAGTCTCATTATTGGGGAAAGGGCATTTAAGGTAGCCTCTCCACTATTGCTAGATGGTTAGTTGGTGTCATCCTTGTAGATCTCTAGACATTTCCCTAGTGCCAGATTTCTCTTTAAACCTATAATGGCTCCTTCTTTTATAGCGTCTCTTATCTTTCTCTCCTCTATTCTTCCCCCGACTCAACCTTCCTGCTCCCTCATGTCCTCCTCGCCCCTCCTCTTCTTCCCTTCTCTTCATATTTCCCTCTCCCCTCCCCCCATGCTCCCAATTTGCTCAGGAGATCTTGTCCTTTTCCCTTTCTCTGGGGCCTCCTTGTTTCCTAGCTTTTCTAGCGGTATGGATTGTAGGCTGGTAATCCTTTGCCCTGTGTCTAAAATCCATACATGAGTGAGTACATACCATATTTGTCTTTTTGTAATTGGTTTACCTCACTCAGGATGATTTCTTCTAGTTCCATCCATTTGCCCTCGAATTTCAGAATTCCATTGTTCCCCCCCCCGCCCACCCGCTGAGTAGTACTCCTTTTTTTTTTTTATTTCTATGACTTTATTGTTTAATTTTCTTTGGCATTATGAGTAAAGCTTAATTTCATCTATGTAAGTCCATTCTCTTTTCATTTCATTGAGCTTTTTCTTCCTTTTTTTCATTCTTTTCTGCCAGGTTTCAGCATTTCATCCTCTTTTTTTTTCTTTTTTTTTATTTAGAAACAATCATTTTACATATCAATTCTCCCATGCACCCTCTCCCTCCCATCCTTCCACGCCCCCTGCCAACCCTCCCAACCCACCCCACACCCACTCCCCAAGGACAGTGAGGCCTTCCATGGGGGATCATCAAAGTCTGTCACATCAGAGCCTAGGCCCACCTCCATGTGTCTGGGCTGAAATAGTATCCCTCCACAGGGAATGGGCACCCGAAGTCCATTTGTGCACTAGGGATAAACACTGGTTCCACTGTTAGATGTCCCACATACTGCCCAGGCCTCCTAACTGGCACCCATAGCTAGAGGGTTTCATTTAGTCTGATGCTGGTTCCACAGCTTTACTACTGGGGTCCATGTGCTCTCACTAGATCAGATCAGTTGGTTCTGTAGGTTTCTCCAGCACAGTCTTGACTCCTTTGATAATCCCTCCTCCCTCTCTATGACTGGATTCCAGGCAAATGGCTCAGTGCTTAGCTGTGGGTGTCTGTTTCTGCTTCCATCAGCTACTGGATAAAGGCTCAAGGATGGCAATTAAGGTAGTCAGTCTCATTATAGGGGAGAGCATCAAAAGCAGCCTCTTCTCTACTGCCTAGATTCTTAGTTGGGGTCATTTTGTGGATCTCTAAACTTTCCCTAGTGCCATATATCTCTTTAAACCTATACTGGCTCCCTCTATTAAGGAGAGGGAAGGGAGAGAGGAAAAAGTGAAGGGGAGAAGAGGAGGGGGAAGGAAAACAAGAGGGATCAGGAAGACTGAGACAGGAGAGGAATAGAGGAGAGTAAGAAAAGAGATCCCTTGCTGGGCGTTGGTGGCACACGCCTTTAATCCCAGCACTCGGGAGGCAGAGGCAGGCGGATCTCTGTGAGTTAGAGACCAGCCTGATCTACAGAGCAAGTTCCAGAACAGCCTCCAAAGCCATAGAGAAATCCTGTCTCAAAAAACAGAAAGGAAAAAATAGAAGTATGTATTGAGTGGAGTAATTTGCATTTTCCTAATTGCTAGGATGATGAATAGTTTTTTCCTAGATATTTCTTAGTCATCTTTTTCTTCATTTGATAATTCTTGATTCAGGTCGCAGGCCCACTTTTAAATGGGTTATTATTCCTTTGGTTGGTCGGGTTGGGTTTGAACCTTTAATTTGGGGTTTTCTTTTTTTTTTTTTTTTTACAAGACAGGGTTTCTCTGTATTGTTTTGGAGGCTGTCGGTCCAGCCTGGCCTCTAACTCACAAAGATCCGCCTGCCTTTGCCTCCCGAGTGCTGGGATTAAAGGCGTGCGCCACCAACGCCCAGCTTAATTTGGGGTTTTCTTATATATTCTGTATTAACCAGGGTCAGATACTTAGCTGGGAAAGATTCTATCCCACTGTGGCCTTCCTTTTCACTTCCTCTTCCTGGTTGATTTTTTTTCTTTAGCTGTGAAGAATCTTTTGGCTTTATAAAGTTTTCAATAGTTTGCCTTAATTCTTGGGGAAATGGAGTCCTATTCAGAAAGTCCTTTCATGCACTTATATTACATAAGATACTGCCTGTGTTTTATTCTAACAATTTTCAGCATATAAAGTTTAATGTGTAAGTGTATACATCAGTGTATAAGGTATAATGGATCCCCAAATGACATGACAGACTTTGATGATCCCCCATGGAAGGCCTCACCCTCCCTGTGGAGTGGATAGGGGTGGGAGAGGGAACAGGAATTGATGTGTAAAATAAGATTGCTTCTGAATTAAATAAAACAGGGAAAAATCAAGGTATAATGGAACTAGTTGGGGGTAATGTGATGGATGCAGGTCTAATTTAATTTATTTTTTTAATTGAAGACTACCAGTTATGCACAACAGCAGAGTAGGGTCATTTGAACTAATGGACTTCTGTGTTTCTTATGATTTGTACTGTTACTGAGTTTGAACTGAACAAGCTTTATCAGAGACACTGTTACTTATATTGTGGGTGCCCTATGTTAGACCGGCTTCTTTCACTTTACACTGTTCAGGAACCACTTCTTAGGCAGCTGTGTCACCCACAATGAGCAGAGTGTTCTTACATCAATAAACAAGACAGTCCCCCTCAGGAATGACCACAGACCAGCTGGATCTAGATGATTCCCCACTAAGACTCCTTCCAGATGAGTCTAGTTTGTATCAAGTTGGCAGTTAGCAAATTTGCTAGTGGAAATGTGGCTTCCAAATGCATTGGCAGTTTGTGTTAGTCATCCTTCTGAAAGGACACAGCTATGAGTACTGAGTACAGTGTTGTAATTTTTAGTTTCTGTGTTCCACAGTGGTGGACAGTAGAAATGTAGATCCAGATGTTGATCTACCTTCCAGCATCAGGCTGAGAGTTATTCACTGCCAACGTGAGTCTCAGTTGATGAGCTTTGCTTCTGACCACAAAGAGTGGGTCTTTCACTATGCATTTCCCTGCCAAAGGCGAGACACCAGCCATCTGCACCCTTTGGCCTTTCTGATGTCTGCCCCTTCTGTTCTCTATAACTCTCTCTCTGAGCTTTATCTCACCCTAGTCCTGTGCCAGACAAAAGTGTATTTTTCTGATCTGTGGCTGGTTGCCCTTCTCAAATTCTCAAAGTAACTCAGTTTTTAACAATAATCTCTCTGTAAAAATAGTTCCTAGCTAAAATGACAGTTACTGGAGATCCACCATGTAGGACCTCACCCTCCCTGGGGATCCGAGTGGAGATTAGGTGGGGATTGGGGGGAGCCTAGTGGGGAGGGGGGAGGAGGGAGGGAGAGAGAGCTGGGATTGACATGTGAAACAAGCTTGTTTCTAACTTCAATTTAAAAAATAGAATCTAAAAAAATTGTTCCTAGCTATTGCTTTTCAAATTATATGTAATGATGCAATGGGATTTCTTTATACCTCTGGCCCACCCACTGGAAGAATCACTATAACAGTGTAGTCAGAAACTGGATTTGAGGCTAGTGAGGGCTGTCGGCTTGTCCTGAATGAAGGTAGGACTGCCATTTCCTTGTTTGGTTTTTATTTGGCAGTGTCTGCTTCTCCCTGCACCATGGAGCTATACTGTTGAAGTTGATTTGAGGTTTCTTATTTTTCTTAGTTTTATATATGTGTGATGGATATGTGTATGTATATGTGTGTGTGTGTGTGTGTGTGTGTGTGTATGTCTCGCTCTCTTCTTTCAAACTCATGACTCTTTCCTTTTAATTATTAGTGTTAATAAATATAGCTAAATATATACATAAAACCTGTTGATTCCATTTAGTGTTGCATATGTACATACATATGTGAGTATATACATATATACCTTCTTAGGGCTATCACTTGGCACGACTAGCACATTAGGCAGCTTACTCTTTGGGAAGACTGATTCTCTCTCTCAATTGTTTTAATTGACCATAATTCTTCATCTAAGCATGGACTTGGTGAAGTTTGGGGATGGGGGTTGTTTGGCATTTGGAGAGGTTTTTTGTTTTGTGGGGGTTGTATTATCAGTATTTCAAACCATTCTGAAATGTGAAATGCTATTCTTTCTAATTTCTTTTTATGTTTGCATTAGGCTTAAAGTGACCGATATAGAAGCATCCTCAGCTGTCATAGTTAGTACCTTATGCTCCACTCTGAGGCAGCCCATGTTCTTGAGTTCTTTCCAGAGTGTTTGCATTTTGTTCATGTTTATGTGTACCCTCAGAGGTCATTGAATCAGTGCTGAACTGGGCTTCTCATCCTTATGTATCCTAGGCATCTGTCTTTTAAAGGGCACCCATGGAGATACATTGCTAGTGTCCATGTTATGATGACATGGACCCATTTCCATTGATAAAACAGCACATGAAGAGTTCTTTCTAGTGAGTTCTTCATAGCAATTGAATGACCTTTCTGGCTAGAAAGCTGCTTTCTGTTTTGGTATTTACACAGACAGTTCAGAAAGTGTCCCTGTCATTAATAAATTTAATAATGCCTTATTATATGATCTTTATATCTCTCAACTATGAGTGAGGCAACCATTCCTTCTAATCGTCAACATTGCTTGAAATGTTTTGCAAGCCAGACCCAGAAATGGAGTATAAAATCAAAGTGTGGCCTATGACTAGTGTTCACAATGGAAGGAATAGCATTAATCAGTGAGCATATCAAATTACAACGCACACATGGTTTCTGTTCTTTTGAGAAACTCCTTCAAAACGTGTATACATGCTTAGTGAACATGTAAGGTGGATTTTTCTCCCTAGAAGTCCAAGTGGGTGATTGCCACAGCTCTACTGTGTGTCCCATTTGAATTTTTCAATGCTACTACCACCTGTGCTATGCTTTTCTTTAAAGGTATGCCAAGTCAAGTCAGATCAAGACTGTATCAAGCAGCAAGATATTTTTTAAAGGAAGTAGATTTCGATATAGGTAGGTAACAATGGACCGATTGCAGTGATCGGTTGGGGGGCACTCATTTACATTAGAATGTTTTATTTGTAGATATTGTGCTTATGACCCTTTAGTAGTCTTATTTCCCCATTGAGTTATTCTCCTGACCAGGCAACCTAAGCCTCCACATAAATTTTCGTCATGTAATAAGAGAAGAGGTGAACTCTAGGAGCCAATTTGGAAGGATGTACCTACCCTTCCCCATTTCTTTGGAGTGTCTACTCACAAAGATTGTATTTGTGTATTTTATAGCGGTAAAGTTGCCAAAGAGGTGGTAGAGGCAAGCTCCAAAATCCAGAGGGATCCTCCTGAGGTGCACAGGTGAGTAGATGCTCCCTCTGGCTTGGAGAGGGTGCTTCCATGACCAACACACATGAGGCTCTGACTTCATTCTACAATAACACAAAATAATTTCTTATCCTAACTTTCCTTACTCCTCCCTTATGTCTCTATGTATAGTGACTTCCATAGAAATACCCCTCAGATTTGTCAGGGCCGTGACCTGAGGGCATTTTGGTCCTTCTTAGGTAACTTGATATGTGGATAGGTAGGTATCAGGTCTAGAATGCTACATGACTAAGCAAGAGTGGGCCATTGGATGGCTCCTGCTAGCTCTGCTCCATCACCCTGTCACACTGTCCTCATAGAATAGCTCTAACAATATCTGGCTCATCAGGCATGGTCAGGCTCTCTGCTCTGAGTCCTTCTCTGAAACTGAACAGTATATATCCCCCCTGTGATATCTGGGGAGTTTGGAATACCATGAGCACATCTGGAGGCTGTCTAGCTTCTTTGGTCCCTGAGAAATGAATTGACCAGAGCCATACAGTTACAGTAGAGCAGTGATAGTTTTTAGGAAAAGATATAGAGTTCCCAAGGGAAGAAGTTCCCAAGGGATGGAGAAAAGAAAAAGGATAGAGGTTCCAAGAGGAACATTATGCAAATGATTAGTGTTTTTAATATCATTTGGTCTTTTGGGCTTATTTGCACAGCATAAGGTTTTCACACAGCTCTGCTACATGAAGCTCTACACACAACCTCCTGGATTTCACGCTCCTAAGCCTCCACTTAGGAGTGTGTATTTTCATGTTATAAAGAAACAGAAGTCACCTCGGATACTTTGGAGTGCCTCTCTACCTGATTGAAGGTTTGATTTGCTTGGCCTTCTGGAGAACGGAGGGCTTATTCCAGTCCTTCTCCTGACAATGCCCTTCTCCGTATGCTAATTTTGAAACACTTTACACGTGGCCTTTGTACTCCCAAAGACCGAACTGTAAAAGGAGAGGCATGGCCATTAGTAGGTTCTGAGTACACATTTTTGGGGGATGCAGTCTCCCATACCCTAAGATAACCTCAGGCTCACTACATACCTTTAGATAACATTGAAATTCTCATCGTCCTGCACATTTTCTTTCACTATCTATAGTTAGTTCTTAGGAATTAAGTGTTTTCTTTGCCAAACTGACTTTACATGACCACAATTTACAAAAACAGATGTATGTCCTAAGTTTCAAACATACTGAACATTTAAACTGAACACTCACTATGATATCAGCCCTTTTAAAACAAAATCATTATAACCTGTTTTAATTTTTTAAGTTATGTGGTATAATGGGCTTCATTGTAGCATTTCCATATATACATGCACACACACTGTGAATATATATATGCCATATATATATTGTTCTTATTCATTTTCATTCTCCACTGCCTTGCAAGTCCCACCCTCAAATCTTCCCTTCCTATCTCTCTCTCATGCTTCTCCATAAGACCTCCTCTATGATAAGCTAAGTTATTTAGGGATTTTCTCACAGGAGAGTTGGTACCAGTTCTTCCTTCTTCAACTTTGGAACCCAAAAGTTTTTCCTTTGTGTCTACATCTGCTAAATTTCCTCCATTTGCAGAAAGATTAGGTGAGCTCAGTGGTACTCCACCTTGTTGCTGGAGTTATCAGCCGAAAATAGCTGTGGCCTTAAAAGTAGTCCAAGCCAGCCTTCCAAGGGCTTCTAGACATTATGTATTTCCCAAAACACTGAGCATAGTTGAAGTCTTCAGAAGACACGATATAGATGTGTCCAGCTTTTGTTTCTTTTCTGCTTTTCAGTAGCTAAGAGGAGCTCTCATATGCAGATCTGTGAAAGCTGTCTCTCCAGCTTTAAAAAATAGGAAACCTTTCAGGATTAGAGACTGGAGAAGCTGTTGACTGAGGCTACGTTGGTGTACTATCTAAATGTGTGTCAGGATGCTCGAAGATCACAAAGGGATTTAGAGCACTTTCCTCTCCCATAAACTGTGTCCATTTAGCACGGCAGAAAGGAAGACGGCATAATAGAATATGTCCTTTTGACTTTTCCAGAAACTTTGGATAGGAAATAGCTTTAGGATCTCTTAGTTTCTTCTTTTTAATTGTTAGGAGATTTAGTCATTGTCTTAGACATGAGATGTGTCCAAGATGCTACTCTGAAGGCTCTTAGGTACCAGTAGTAATGTGAAACACTTTCATGTAATGTTTAACTTCCAAAAAGTCATTTGCATGGGAGAACCTGTTTCTCTTGGAACATTATTTTATGTTTTAAACTATGTTGGCATTTCAATGTGGCTATCGAAAGGAAGAATGTAGTAATGCAGTTTTATGTTGTGAGAACTCTTCAGAAAAGATCGTTAGTCTATAATGGCAATGGTGAGGAACTAATTTATCATCCTTCCTCACACCTGAAATTCTACTCCTCAAAAAAATTAGAGGCCTCTACAATCTGGCTTCTGAAAAAGTGTGTATGTATAAAGAGACAGAAACCAACACACTGAGAATATTTTAGGATTATTCTTTCCTTCAGAAAGAAAAGCTCACTCTGACGTTAGTTTACTGGCCTTTATTATGGCATGGGAAGATCCCGGGGAAAGCTGTCCTGGGTTAGCTGCTGGGGAAGAATCCCAGAGCCTAGCCAAGAGGCCACATTCAGATGGAGGGCTGCATCTTGGAGCACAGCATCCACCACCAGGGGACACACAGAACACCCAGAACCAGCAAGATACAAGGATGTTCTGATACAAAAATGAATAGATTTTAATCTTTGCTACATTGCCTGCCATCTCTGTGGCCTTTGGTAAGTCACTGAATTTCCTAGATTACTAGTTTCCCCATCTATGAAATATGATTCTTATATTGCCTTGACCTACTTCGAAATTTTGTTGGGGGCTTTTAAAAAAAGCTTTTTAAATGTAAAGTGACATACACATGTCAAACAATCATTATCATTCATTTAGAACGCAGAGGCTGGGTCTCAGCATTCAGCTGAGTGCAGAGCACTAGCTCAGTACTGCAATGCCTCTGGGTTGCAGCACAACCTTGTGAAAACAGGGAGGTAGGATCTGGAAGATGCATTCATATTCAAAGACATTCAGATGATAGGCCAGCACTACTTCCTTTGGTCACAGAGTGGCGAATGCCACACACTTCAATGTACTCATTCTGTTTTGTCACCATTTTGAGTCCTGCATCTACTCATCATCATTTTACAATTCAGTTGTCTAACTTCACTTTTCCCATCCTTGAATACATGCTTTTCTCATGCTAAGAAAAAAAAAATCAGTGCTCCGAAGTCTACACAAATTACATCTTCCAATGTTAGAATCTAATGTGCCACAACCAGCCTTCTTCCTGCAATAGAATTCTTCATGACAGTTTGCTTTGGATACTATTAAACATGAGTGGCTTGTAAAATAGAATAGGCATTTCTACAGACAGTTAATGAGTGGGGTCTATAAGAGTAGAAATGTAGCACATATGCTTACCTGGCATAGTATCAGGTACTTCATGGTAAGATTTGGGATCTGCGCAGGAGTTTCTGCCAGAACCTTGATTCTGATGGAGCAGTTAAGAGGAGGTGAGAAAATTAAGACTAGGGCTACATGAAATGTGTTTGAACCATGGAGACACCACCCTCATGGATGGATCTCATTGCTTGATGCCACTGAGTTCTCTTGTAAGAACCAAATTGTTAATTTTCTTGAAGATGATACTGTCTCACATTTGCCTTTTTGAACACTGAAGTTTGATTTTCTGCACTGTCTGCTGTGAGGCTGGCCACCAGACAGCCTTCACCAGGAGCTAAGACAGTGACTACACAATGGTTTCAGGATTTTTTTCAGTCACTAGACTCGTGTTCTAAATAAATTCATTTTACTTGTTATTACAAACATTCCATATGTGTTATATCATCACAGAATTGACTGGAACAGCTCAGGGTGTGAGGAAGAATGGCAAAGGGGAAGCCAATTTCCATCTTTTCAATTATTTATTTATTTTATTTTGTGGATATTGGTCTTTTTCAGGCATGCATGTCTGTATGAGGGCATCAGATCTCTGAGACCAGGGATTACAAACAACTGTGAGCTGCCATATGAGTGCAAGGAATTGAACCTGGGTCCTCTGGAAGAGCAGCCAGTGCTCTTAACTGTTGAGCCATTTCTCCAGCCCCCTCTTGGCAAATTCTTACAAAATGGGTTGGCACACTGGGACCTTCCTTTACAGCCCCAACTTCAAAATATTAGTTGTAAAACAAATCCCTTTGGGGTGCTGTACACTCACTAATGTAGAAAGCATGGCATAAAACAGAAGGAATAGACAAACTAGAATTCTGATTTTGCCCATGTAAACTCTGTGTTTTTATTTAGTTTTATTTTTTGAGCATTTCATACTTGAATACATTAAATCACTTCCACCTCTCCATTCCAACGCCTTCTATGCCCCCTCTCTGTAATTTGCATTATATACATATACATAGATCTACTTGTATATATTATATGCATATGTACACAAACAGAAATGTAAACCTACTGAGTTCATTTAATATTTCTTGGTGGTACATGTGTTTAGGGTTGACTGTTTAGGACTGATAAGCTATTGGAGAAGGTCATCCCTGAAGAAACTTGAAGCTCCCTCTCAGCAGCCATTGGTGGTTGCCAGTGTCTCTTCATCTAGGATGGGCCTTGTGAAATTTCCCTCATCCATATTGGCACGTCAACTGATATTATGCTCATGCAGACCTTGACCAGATAACCCTATTGCTGAGATTTATGGATGCAACTTCCCATTTATGACTAGAAGACATTGTTTTTTAGCTGGTATTCTCATCTTGTGACACTAACACTCTTTGCATGTGCTCTTCTGCACTCTTCTCTGAACCTTAGGTGCAGAAGTTTATTGTAAATGTACTAATGGAAGCTGGGCACACCATGCCCACTTTTTCACTGCATTTTGACCACTTGTATATTTCTGTCATAGACTCCATCTGCTATTTAAAAAAAAAAGCTGCTTTGATGAGGGCTGAGAACTAGTTATCTGTAGGTAAAATTATTCGGAAAGACTGCTGGAAATTGTAGTGATTTCTGAAAATAGCAATAGTAAGTTATCCTCTAGGATTTATCACATCATACACCAAGGGTAGATGGCTAAGTTTACAGGACCAGACATGAATTTTATCCCTTTAATTAGCCTTTAAGTACAATTAGACAGAATATGGAAGTGCCACCATTGCCCACTTAGGAATATCCCACCAGCTTTGTCTCCTGGTTTGCAGGCTTTAAAGCAGAGTAGGATCATTGGGGTTTTTCCCTTGGCAGCTTGTAGAGCACCTTCTGATGCTGTGACAGCTAGTCCTCAGGGAGGAGGCTTTCAGGTCAATTACAACTCAGTTCCTCCAAATCATGCTTGTGAAATAAGTTGTGTCTTCTGCAATAGGATCTTGCCTTCAAGTTTTGGGAGACAAAGAAGAGCAATATATCAACCCATGTTTTTAGAGTATCTTGGACCACCACACACACTTCTGATCAACAACTAGAAGGGAGATTTCCTATGCCTGGGACTAGGGATTTGTCAGATAGTCTAGGACCTTGTCAGCAGGAATGGGGGCACCATTGAATCTCAGTTTCTCTCATCAGTACAAATATAATATTTATCCTAGCTGGCTTAGAAGCACACTAAGAAACCCAAAAGATGAACAAAGTGCATGAAATTCAGTTTGTAAAATGAACTGGCCATTCAGATTTTGTTCTATCAAATATTTCTCCTTAGCGATTGTGCCAATTAGACTTGGCTTCCAATGAACCCTATGTCAGTGATCCTCTTTGTAACCTTTGAAATAGGTAAATAGGGGAAATTGTTAGTCTAAAAGAAATAGAAGACAGTATATTTCTATAGCAAAATACAGCAGACTGTGTAGTTTGCACACAACAGTTTATTTCTCACAGTTCTGGAGGATGGGAAGCCCATGACTGAAACACTGAAAGATTTGATGTCTGGTGATGGCTTCCCCATAAGCAGAAACATCTTTCTTGTCCTACAGTTGAAGGAAGGGGGAAACAGGCTGCCCTGGCATTCTATTGCTTTTTGATTCATTTAGAGAGGGGAGGAGAGTGCACATGTGTACTCATTATGGCATCTACGTAGATGTCGGTGGACAACTTAAAGGAGTGGTTATACTCTTAGTCTATGGGGTCTTGGGATTAAAATAAATCAGGTCATCAGTTATAGTGGCAAGTGTCCTTACCTACTGAGCCACCTCACTGGCCCTCAGGGTACTTTTATAAAGACTCTTGACTATTCATGAGGGCTCTCATGACTGAATTATATCCAAATGACCTGTCTTTTAGTACCATCACAATGAGAATCTTTTTTACAGAAAATTTTTTCAACAAATGGATTTTAAAGAATAAAATATTAAATTTAGACCGTAGAAATAAAAAGGGGTAGGAGAGACCCATTTATTCCATTAACTTTCTTTGAACTTTCTCTCAAGTTATCAGACTATCCTAGGACTTAGAGCCCTAAAATTTTGTGCTGTGGTTAAATGGATTTATCTGAGTCTTTTTCTTAACTGAAAATCTATGCCCTTCTCTGTCATATTATTTAAAATATGAGGTTTTTAATGCCCTGTGAGAGTCATCTGTCCTAACTCTAGGCTTAACCATAAGCCATGAACCTCTACTACAATGAAGCAGGATGAACCTACATGTAGGGACCAAGCTGTCCCCACCTTTCTTCCAGTAATAAGATAGACGTACACTTGGGATGTCAACACTTGTAGCCTCAGGCTGTTCTAGAACAAAGCGGCTGTTGGACAATACAGTTATAAAAGAATACAAAATATTCCACATCTCCAGATGAAGAATGTTGGGAGGAAGATAGATGATACAAAATGTATTTCATAGTATGTGTCTCAGATTTTTTGAAAGGTAAAAATGTTACTTCTAGACAGTGAGTTTCTTACTGAGAGACTTACCAATCATCAAAACAAACAGAACACCTAATACGTAATCATCAGTTCTAACATAAGTTGGAATAAAAGAAGAAATGACTCTGTGGCTAAACAACTTCTAGGGCAACCAGTGGCAGCTGTGGAAGTTTCCAACTCAAGATGCTAACAGGCATCCTGCTCTATGTCTTCTCATGAAAGTCCTAGTAGAAATTTCCAGCCTGAGAAAATACTTGGCAATCTGAAATTCCAGGTTATGTCATTATAAGGTTGTACTCAGTTTAAGAGTTGGAAACCCTATAAGAAGGTGTCCAGTGAAATACTGTAAGATGCTTAGGAATTTCTAGGAGTCTTTTCAGAGTGGGGCTGATAAATACAATAATTGCAACCTGACAGAATTAACAAACATGATGAATTGTGAATGAAGTGAGAGAAGTTTATGAAAAGAAAGAAGGGAATAAAAAGGTGAATGTCTGTTTTAAGAAACCAGCCAGAAAGGCTTCAAGGAGGAGATATTTGAGACCATTTTCAATGGAATGGTTTGTTTGGTTCTGACAGGAAACTGGAGAAAGTTAAGCACTTAATGTGTACCTTGAAGTCTCTACTTCTCTCTGTGCTGGGGTCCACAGCTGTCCTCCCCACAACAGACAATACACATGGACTTCTAGCTGAGTATCAATAGTTTTAATGAGGCACCAGAAGTTTCCTTGCCACCTGTTACTTGTCACAGCTTCTGTTATGTACATGACTTTCCAAAGGAGAAGCAGAACTAAGTTTCATGACTGTCTGGTAAAGCGGGCATGAATGAAAACCTTGGAAAACTGACAACATGAAGGTATCTGACAGTTGCAGAGCATGTATCCTCTGTCCAAGCAGGATTTGTGGTAGTGGTTCAATGGCTCTGAGCTACTATCATTTACATTTCTCCTTGTCTAATTCAGTACTAGGAGAATCCCTGGTGTGTTTCCTGTGTCTATTTAAAAATTTGTGTGTTGTCACCAAGCACAGCTTTGTCTGATGACATTTGGGGAACTTTTTTTTTTCACCAAGTCGAATAGAATTTGTAGACTTTTGTCAGAAATCTAACGATAAGGAGAACTATGTCTCTTAAATGATAGGGCGTATTTACTATTAGCATTACTCTCTTTTGTGTCCAGAGGGTAGGACCAGTATGTGCAGTGGACACTAGTTTATTTGGCTTCTGTTTGGTTTTAGAGTCAACATTACCCAGAGTCGCAGCTCTCACTCCTTGAACAAACAGCTCATCATTAACATGGAGCCTTTGCAGCCCCTGCTTCCTTCCCCCACTGAACAGGAAGAGGAAGTTCCTTTGTTTGAGGGTAAGTCTACCATTCCATTTTAGAAGCCTCCTTTCTGAGGAAGAGGGAATTTTGTGAATTCAAAATATTTCCAAGCCAGGCAATAGTGGTGCAGACCTTTAATCCTAGCACTTGGGAAGTAGAGTCAAGTGTGTTTCTGTGAGTTCAATGCAAGCCTGGTCTACAGAGTATGCTCCAGGACAGCCAAGGCTACACAGAGAAACCCTGTCTGGAAAAACCAACATTTCTAAATTTACTTGTGAAAGAAATAATGGTGCAAGATATGCACTGTTAAGTAATTACTTTTAGTGGCTATTTGAAATTCAATTATAATTCATTAATATTAAAACCCAATTTCTCAATTACCATTAGCTAGGGTTTTTATTGCTGTGAAGAGACACCATGACCACGGCAGTTCTTATAAAGGAAAACATTTAATTGGGGCTGGCTTGCAGTTTCAGAGGTTTAGTCCATTATCATTATGACAGGACATGGCAGCATGCAAGCAGACATGGTGCTGTAGGAGAAACTGAGAGTTCTACATCTTGATCTGCAGGCAAGAAGGAGATTGTGTCATAGACACAGCTTGCGCATATATGAGACCTGAAAGTCAGCCTCCACAGTGACATACTTCTTCCAACAAGGCCACACCTACTCCAACAGGCCAATCCTCCTAACAGTGCCACTGTCTATGGGCTAAGCATTCAAACACATGAGTCTATGGGGGACCATATCTATTCAAACCACAACATGGTGTAAGGATGTCCCATCAACACTAATTTTAATTATATTCCTTCCTACCACAGGATATCATGATTGTTATTTTATTTTCCCATGTAAAAATACATCATCTTATAAAACAAAAAATATAAAAAATGAAACAAGCACAAAAGCATCATCTTCATGATAGTGAGCTTCCTGGATGTAATAAGTGGTGTTGGCATCCTTGCCTGTGAACACTAATGTGGTTGCAATCACCCCAAGTAGACTTCAATTGTCATAAATTGGGACACCTTTCAAACAATGAATAAGAAACACATTTAGCATAAATGCAGAAGATGAGTTGATATAATAAACTAGCAGTAATTCATAAAAGCATCATTGTAGCATTGTCAAGAATTCTTTGTTCATCATCAACTCTCCCATTTAAAAACAGTAACAGCCTACTGCTGCTGAACTACAGGACTTAGGAGGATGCTGAAAAGGTGGAGATAACACTTGCTTTAACTAACAAATATTGTATTGGGTATGCTAAGCCAAACTCCAAAGGCCATTGTCATACCAACTGGTTTCTAGAAGGCAGCACTTCTGTTTGGTTTGGCAACTCCTCCAGTAAAGAAATGCCTAGAGCAGCTCAGCAGACACAATGAAGGCCCAAGAAAGATCTGCGGATAGCGTTGTGTAGTGTCTTCAAAGATCTTTTTTATTCTCTTTGTGTACTATTATTTGGAGCTGTTCTCATCTTCAGAATTCTAGTATTTAGTACTAACTGACCCTTTATGTGTTAGCCAGAAGTTTACATCACTATAAAGAAATCACTCAAATTTTATGTTATTTCCTACATTGTACCTAATGGTAAATGCTTTATTTCTAGTATAAGGACATAATGCTTAATTTCTAATTAAATCTAGGTGAATTTTGTTTTCCACATATTATGTTATCATCACAAGAACTAACACTATGCATTTTGTATTAACTCTCACCACGGCTCATTGTGAAGTACAGTGTCTCTTAGTGTAAACATTTCAATGGTGACAACAGTGTGCATCAGTTCTGTCATTGCTGATGTTCCAAATTTAGCTCATTTTATGAAGTACAGTGTTTTTTATTGGAAATATAACAGAGACTCAAATTGTTGCTCTGTTTCTACTTTGGGACAAAAGAAGAAATACAAGCCCTGGTCTGTCTTTGTTCCTCACTAAGCTGCTTACTGCCATAAATGAACATCACTTTTCCAATATCCATTTTCATCATTTATAAAGTAAAGCCACACTTGAGCAACATTCAACCATTTTTAAATAATGTCAAGGTTAAAAAGTTCAAGACTGTGGCTCAAGAAGATTTTGAGCAGGTTAACGTCCTTATAGGATGGGCTAAACAAATGTGTATTCCTTATAATGGATCTCAGAAGGGGATTGTTCTATGCCATGTGATTGGTGAATAGCCCGTAACATGTGCTTATAGTCTGGCTGTGCATGATTTCTGTGTGACAGAGAAAGGGTAGGGAATCTTGCATTCCTAAGAAAGGATGTATAGATGATGGGGAAGTGGAGGAACGGTACATAAAAAGTGGAGAATACTTGAAAGAGATAGAAGTTGACCATCCTCAAGTAAGCTAGGAGGACTAGGGTCCTGGAATAACCAATGATCACAAAAGTCATCCAGTGAAATTGAGGGACAATGAGGGAACGGATTTAGAAGGAAGTTTTATTTATTACAGATTCCTAACTTGGATCTTAAGAGAAAAATTGAAGAGCCTGGAAGGATACCATGGAGCATCATCAACTCAAAGCTAATAAAGGTTTATTACAGCAGTTCTTAGCCTGTGGCTCACAACCCCTATGGGGGTCACAATATCAGATATCCTGCACATCAAACATTTACATTACCATTTGTACCATCAGCAAAATTACTGTTGTGAAGTAAAAATGAAATAATTTTGTGGTTGGGAGTCACCACACTAAGAGGAACTGTATTTTTTTTCCTTTTTTCCTTTATTTAAGTTAGAAACAAGTTTGTTTCACATGCCAATCCCAGCTCCCTCTCACTCCCCTCCTACCCATCCCTTCCCACCAGGTCCCCCACCCCCCACCAAATCTCCACTCCGATCTCCAGGTAGACTGAGGCCCTCCACGGTGGATCTCCGGAGTCTGTCATGTCACCCAGGGTAGGGTCTAGGCTCTCCTTCAAGAGTACAGGCTGAGAGAGTATCCCTCACTGTGGGATGGGAACTCAAAGTCTATTTGTACGCCAGGGATAAATACTACCCAAGGCCCCATAGATTACCTAGGCCTCCTCACTGACACCCACATTCAGGGGGTCTGAGTCAGCCCCATGCTTTCCACACAGCCATCAACCTGGGGTCCAAGAGATCTCCCTTGTTCAGGTCAACTGTTTCTGTGGGTTAAACCAGCCCAGACTAACTCCTTTGCCCATCAGTTCTCCTTTTCTGACACTGGATTCCAGTTCAGTTCAGTGTTTATCTGTGGGTATCTGCCTTTGCTTTTATCAGTTGCTGGATGAAGGTTTTGTTTCCCAGACTCTCTGGCAATGTGATTGTATGCTGGCACTCCCCTGATTCATGTCTAAAATCCATAAATGAGTAAGTACGTACCATGTTTCTCTTTTTGTGACTGGGTTACCTCACTCAGGATGGTTTCTCCTAGTGCCATCCATTTGCCTGCAAATTTCAAGATTCCATTGTTGTTGTTGTTTTTTTCCACTGAATAGTACTCCATTGTGTAAATGTACCACATTTTCTCTATCCACTCTTCAGTTGAGGGGCATCTAGGTTGCTTCCAGGTTCTGGCTATTACAAATAATGCCGCTATGAACATGGTGAAACAAACATCCTTGTTGTACGAATGGGCATCTTTTGGGTATATGCCTAAGAGTGGAATTGCTAGGTCTTGTAGTAGACTGATTCCCATTTTCCTGAGGAATCTCCATACTAGTTTCCAAAGTGGCTGTACAAGTCGGCACTCCCACCAGCGGTGAAGGAATGTTCCCCTTTCTCCATATCCCCTCCAGCATAAACTGTCATTGGAGTTTTTGATTTTAGCCATTCTGACAGGAGTTAGATGGTATCTCAGAGTTGTTTTGATTTGCATTTCCCAGATGTCTAGGGATGTTGAGCGCTTTCTTAAGTGCCTCTTAGACATTTTAGATTCCTCTACTGAGAATTCTCTATTTAGTTCTGTACCCCACTTTTTGATTGGATCTTTTAGTGTTTTGGAGACTTGTTTCTTGAGTTCTTTTAAATTTTGGAGATCAGCCCTCTGTCAGATGTGGGGCTAGTGAATTTCTTTTTGTCTTGCTGACTATGGGTTTTTGTGGGGTGCCTTTTTGTCTTGCTGACTGTGTCCTTTGCCTTACAGAAGCTTCTCAGTTTCAGGAGGTCCCATTTACTAATTATCGATCTTAGTGTCTGTGCTACTGGAGTTATATTCAGGAAGCAGTCTCCTGTACCAATTCATTCAAGGGGACCTCCCACTTTCTCTTCTAACAGGTTCAGTGTGGCTAGATTTATGTTGAGGTCTTTGATCCATTTGGATTTAAGTTTTGTGCATAGCGAAAGACATGGATCTATCTTCAGTCTTCTACATGTCAGCCTCCAGTTATGCCAGCAGCATTTGTTGAAGATGCTTTCTTTTTTCCATTGTATAATTTTAGCTTATTTGTCAAAAATCAGGTGCTCATATGTGTATGGGTTAATGTCAGGGTCTTTGATTGGATTCCATTGATCTATTTTTTTTTTTTTTGCCAATACCAAACTGTTTTCAGGACTATAGCTCTGTAGTACAGCTTGAAGTCAGGGATGGTGATGCCTCCGGATGTTGCCTTGTTGAACAGGGTTGTTTTGGCTATTCTGGGTCTTTTGTTTTTCCATTTAAAGCTGAGAATTGTTCTTTTTTTTTTTTTTTTTTTGGTTTTTCGAGACAGGGTTTCTCTGTGGTGAGAATTGTTCTTTCAAGGTGTGAGGAACTGTATTAAAGGGTCACAGCATCACAAAGATTGAGAACCACTGGTTTATTGGATGAGAGCGAGGAGGGAAATGCATCACTGGTCAATGCAGTTGGCTCATCTAAGGTACACAGGTGTCTCCCATGTTTGATCACATCCTTGCTATCATTTAGATCTAGAAGGTCATATCCAGCTTTATTTTCCCCACCAGTTAAAGAATTAAAGACAAGAAAAATCTCAGACACAGCAAGCAGCAACAGACAACAACCTTTATGAGAATTGAAGAAGCTTGAACACACACATTCGCCTGCATGCACAAACACACACACACATTCTCT